GTCGGACATAGATTCGGTGGGTTTTGAAAGAAAAGGCAAAGAAATATTTTCTGATGGCAGATCAGACTTAGTCGTAACCAACACAAGCCACTATTTCCTAGGCTTTTGGGAGGGGAAGGGGATGGATAGAGAGATAATTTTAGAGAGAGAGAAGAATGGGTTGTGGTGTGAAAAATGAAGATGGGGAGGGGGGCTATTTTTGTAATTTTTTAAAAGGTGCTATTATTGGAAAAATCTCAAAAATCATCAACAAAATTTGAAGTTTTTAAATAAACAAGATCATTACCGATTGCCAAGAACGCGTGGAGCTCAATCGTGTGGAGGCGAATGATGTTTGTCTCTCCCTTTCACTCTTCCGCTGACGAATTCACCAGAAAATTGAACTAGTTATGGATGAGTTTTAGTTTTGAAACCCAAAACGCGGAGAATGTAGCCTCGAGAGGAAGCATAGAAATTTGAACCCACACCAACGAAGATGAAGAGCGGCGTCCGGAACGTCTGTAGCCTCCGATCAGGAGGAAGCAGCGGGCGATTGGACGATTTCCAGTTTTTGGCGAAGGAAGTTCATGGTGGGTGATGCGGCCACTGCGATTTCGGTGTTAATTAATATTTTTTATGTTTTTTTAATTATCATGTCATTAACTTAACGGTCCAGTCAGCAACTCTGTTTGCCAAGTCATTAAAAAGTTGACGGAGTTAACGGAGACTAACGACCGGTGACTAATGGTGAAACGATTCGTAAAGTTAGTGGCGAATAAAAAAGAAAAGTCATTCGGATGGCAAAAGTGAAAATTTTATATAATTTGAGTGACCAAATGTGTAATTTAACAAAAAAAACATAACATTCTACAAAATCTACTCATGAATCTTGTTCTCACCAATATTTCTTAGCTACTGCCAACACTAGGGATGCCAATGGGTCGGGTCGGGGACGGATAGTGCATATCCGTTACCCTACCCAAAGTAGTTCGGGTTTTACCCATATCCATACTCACATGTGAAACGGGTAGAAAATTAAAACCATGTCCATACCCGCTCGGGTTTCGGGTATCCACGGTTATCCATGGGTAAGGATTTATCTTCATAACTCCAACCAATATGTTAACAATCACACGTATTCTCACATTACGTAAGAGGAAAAGTATGACAATAATTCACTAGAATAAAGAAAATTAATTAAAACAACACAATTTCATGAAAATATTATATTTATATGTTAAATATAAAATATGTTAGAGAAAAATAATGATTATTTCTAGACAAAATACATATGTATGTGAATAATCGGGCGGGTTCGGGTTGGATAGTGAGAAACTCATGCCCACCCATTACCCGCAATATTCGGGTTCGGGTTTTACCCGTACCCACTAAATGTCCTTCGGGTTCGGGTTTTACCCTACCCGATTAGGCCGGGTTCGGGCGAATATCCACGGTTACAGATATTTTTGCCATCCCTAGCCAACACAAAACTAAAACCCGAACCCACTAAATGTCCTTCGGGTTCGGGTTTTACCCTACCCGATTAGGCCGGGTTCGGGCGAATATCCACGGTTACAGATATTTTTGTCATCCCTAGCCAACACAAAACTACACCCCCAAAAGTATGTCAGTCAGCGACAGCCACGTGTATGTCCGAATGACTTTGAGTCACCTTTCTACACTCTTCCACGGTTCCACCAACCATTAAGACCTCTAGTCCGGTACAATCGCATGGGTGGAAATGAGGGTTGCGACAAATTTTTACTGCTACCACATCTCTACATAATCCATGTAAAAGGTACGTGCATTGGGGGAGGGTACACCTCATCTAAATGAGAGAATGCCATCTCGCTTTGTGTTGCATAACCAACCAATTTGGAGTGCCTAATTCCCCAAATCACAACCTCAAAACCACATTTTAGCTTCTGGGTAAGTAAACATGCATTGATGGTTGGAATGAATATTTACATCCAATCAAGGTAAGTTGTTTCCTTGTCTTTCTTCTATACATAGTTAAATTATTGATGTGTTTATTTGCTACATACCAACCATCTATTGCACATATTTTGGTTGGTTGAGTGATTTGTTTTTCTATACTCAACCAACCATTGCACTAAGTATTGGTTGAGTATAAATGTATAATTGTTATTTTATTACGAGCACGCCTTCCACGTCAGGAGCATGAGACATCTATAAATAGGATGCTCATTTCTGCTTTCTCGACAGTTTGTTTCGGATAAATCTTCGAATCTCTCTAAAGAGCTTCTCTCCAACCCAAAGAAGTCACTTTCTTGGAACGAGATCTCTCTCTAGAGTCGGCTCAATACGCTGCTCCTGATTATTCTCCTCTCAAATACTGACTTGATCTTCGGAGTAGGTCCCCGCCGACCACCGTCGTCGGGTCCTTTTTTGCAGGTGTCCATCTCGGAGGCTGGTGGCGGATGTTGGCTAGGAGGACAGCGCTCACCGGACCTCAAACACATTGAAGCAGGCTCCTCCAAGTTTGGCATCAACACATCTATTTTCTGATTCAATTCTTTGGGGTTGTGTAAACTTGGTTGCTCAAATGCCACTAGGTAAACTCGGATTAAAGTGGCTTACAAAACTTTAGGGGTGGTAATCGGTCGGTTACCGGTTGGTTATCGGTATACCGTTCCCCCTCAAACTATTACCGATTACCGGTACCGGAAGTTAACCAGTTAACCGGCTAACCGGATACCTGATTACCGGTTAACACCTCTGTACCGAATAAATCTCTCCTTTTCTGAGTTTTCTCCATTCTCACTCCTCGCGATTCCTCTGCAATTCCTGGGTAGCCGAGAGTGGTCAAATCCTCAAAGGAAATCTTCTTCTTCCAGAACGACGGCAGCAGGAGCGTTGGTCTGGAGAGTTCCACGGGACTCGGGAGGATCCATGGTTGAGGCGGGGATTGGCGAGGGTCGGAGAAGAACGAGACTGGCAGGGTCGGAGATGTCGTCGCGCGCCGTGAGGGCTGTTGGGTTCGTCGGAAGAGATGGCGGAGTTGTTGGGGTCCCGTGGTGCTGCGGGATCTGATGCTAATTTAGCCGAATCTGGAGATTCAATGGCTTGAAAGATGAAGAAGAAGACCAAAAGGTGATCGATTTAACCTCACGCCGCCTCAGTACCTGCGTGGATGCCTGAATCAACAAGCGATGATTGCATAGAGAGAAGCTGCGCTCCGGATCTGCAAAATCGCGTCATATTCGTTGCTGCTTCTCAACGGGTTTTCTCTACTAGCAGAGGACGATGTCGGAGGTAGAGAAGGGAAGAGCTTGGGAGGCGCACAACGGAATGGGAGGCGCTCGACGAACATCAAAGGCGGCGGAGTCGTCGTCGTCGTCGTCTCTCTCGTCTGTGATAGGGGGAGAAACGTGAAAGGACTTGCTGAGTGGGCGAGGAGGAGGACGACGGGCAGTATCGATTTTGGATTTTAGGTCCTTAGCAGTTCCCAGCCGGTATCGATTAACCGGCTACCCAACGGTATTTACCGATAGGGAAGCCGGTACACCGAATCCCCTCCAACAGTGACCGTCTACCGACCGGTTACCGGTTCAACCAATAACCGGCTAACTGATTGTCACCCTCAAAACTTGGGCTCGCGATTTAGAGTCACTTAAGCGAGTTGCTTCATCCGGCTGAGGATAGGGTGAGTAACAGTTGGTTACTCACCCATCAGTAACCATCTAGAAACCGTTGGTTTGGACGGATTCATTGTGCGGTCGAGATGGATGCGGAGATGGTCAAGGGTATTTTTGTCCGTTTCTTTAATTTTGTATTCTTTCCTTTATTTTATTTTGTACAGCATTTATTAGCTGGTTTGAATGGAGGAGAGATAATGCAACTTTTTCTCTTTTTCTGAAATTCCCCTTTCCTCTTTCATCTTTTCTCTTTCTTTCTCTCTCCCAATCTTCTTCTTCTCCAGATCTGAACTCTTCTTCAGTTCTTCATTTTTTTTCTTCAGCAATCGACGAAAGAAAAGTGCAGCCTCCTTCTTTCATTGCATTTCTTTTCTTCGAGATCCTTCTTCTCTCGAGTTGCTCCCTCCTTCTCTTCTTTTTTTCCCCCACCGAAATGGACGAGGGAAAAGTGAATTCTCCTTCTTTCATTATGTTTCTTCTCTTTGTCAAGTCCTCGACCTCAAATTTGGTGAAGCTCCATATCGATCAAGAGGGGAAAGATTTAGGTGAGTCGAGTTTGCATGTTTTATGCTTTAGTATTTTTTTGTGGATTTTCAATTCCAATCTTCCTCATTTGTATTTTTGTGTTCTCAAACGCAGAGGAGAAAATGAGAGGAGGCGGAAGACGAGCATGTGAAGTATGTCTTAGATGTATATTGTGGTCACCATACTATATCATAGTGGTATTATGTGGTAACTAGATATTTATTGTGGTTACCACACTATACCATATGGTAATGTGTGGTAATTAAACGTATTTTTAAGGTTATCATGTTTTACCATGGTGGTATTATGTGGTAACTAGATGTTTATTGTGGTTACCACACTATACCATATGGTAATGTGTGGTAACTGAACGTATTTTTATGGTTACCATGTTTTACCATGGTGGTAAGAAGGTGGTCATCGACCCCAGTTCCGGGAAAGAAGAGTGAGAAGACAATGAAGAGGACAAGAAAGTAAATAAAGTCGTAATTAGATATATATATATATATTCTGAGATTACCACACTATACTATATGGTAATGTGTGGTAATTAAATGTATTTTTATGCATACCATGTTTTACTATGGTCGTAGATGATGGTAATTATATTTATATTTGTTTTTAAATGGTTTTACGTTCTCTTACCATGTGGTATTGTATGGTAATTATTATTATTTTATGGTCATTCAATTTACCGTGTTCTACTCTTTTTTTTTTTTTTTTTGTAGAAGCCCATGTTCTACTATGGTGGTATTGTATGATAGTTAGATTTATAATTTTTTGTAACATGTTTTACCACGTTATACCATGTGGTATTGTATGGTAGCTAGATTTCTAATTTTATTTTAGCATTTATACTATATGATATTGTATGGTAATTAGATTTGTAATTTTCTTTAGCATATTTTGTCATGTTTTACCATAGTAGTAGAAAGTGATAGTCATATTCATACTTGTAATTACCCTTCTTGGCAGAGAATTATTAAATGAAAAAATCATCATTCAATTTGAGTTGGAGTAGAGAGAGCTGAGATTGTTGAATTCATATTTGTTTTTGAGATAGAGTTAGTGTGCAGAGAGCATGTACTTTTTTTTTCTCTTTTAGTTGTAGATGGGAGAGAGAAGAAATAATTTAAATTTTCTTTTAATAATAGATAAAAGAGTGACAGAGGGAAACGTGTGGGAGACATGGAGTGGGGTTCAAGTTCGGTCAAAAGTAGGTGTCAGGTCGTCAGCATTAAATGAGGGGTGGATGCAAATTACCCTACTGCCCCTCCGTGTTCCATTTAAATAAAAGGGGACGGCTCAGATGCAGACATGTGAAGGATGGAAGAAGGGTTATACACAGTTACTGAGAATACGGTTACTGACCTCATCCGGACCCGCTTCATCCTTTCCTTTATAATTATAACCTTCCATTTTAATTGACCTTGTGTGCTTTTATCTCCTACCTTTAAGTTGATTTTCACAATTATTCATGTGAGCACTATAACCAAATTGGATTTTAGACACCAAATAACTCAATTCGACAGACACGGATGGTTTATGGAATCATTGAATTTGGAAATACATATGGAAAGACCGGAAATACATAGTGAAAGATTGTGAATAATATTTGGTGGTTTCCTAAATTATCATAATAGTTATAATAGTTGGAATAGTTTTATATATGGTGGTTTGTGGTACTAAACGAGATGTATATATACACCAAAGTTCAAGAAAGCGCTAGGCGTAAGGCGGCGAACGTTGAGACTCTGTCTTATGCATAGCATGCTGAGGCATCGCCTGGGCATGCCTAAGCGTTAGATTTAAACGCAGCATAATATCTCCTGCTCGCCTAGAATCACGAGTTTATAAACCAAATATTAGCGCATATACCTCTCATTTCTAAACTTTCATCACCAACACATGGTAAAACATAAAACATAGTGTAGAGAAATCAGTAAGGAGAATAAGCTGAAAAATAGCAAAGCATATTGAGACGAAGAAGCGCAAAAAAGAAAGAAGAAGCTACTCTAAAGATGATCGTCTCTAACTATATCTTAGCCTAATTATAGAGAAATCAAGACCGTCCTCCCTAGTAGCATATCGAAAGGTAGAAAACATACATTGTGACATCATTTTGAGGCGCAACTAAATGCTAACTAGGCGCTATCGAGACCACAGCGTGATTGTGAAGACGACACATTTTCCTTCTGACTTGCACATAGACGAGATTAGAGGAGTGACTAGGCGCGCTTTTTAGAACTCTGATATATACTAATATTTATATAAACACTAGTAGTACTTAAACAAGGATGAACTGTCCAGAGAAGCAACCCTCCTCTGACAACGTGTATAATTCATTGTGACCTTTTTCCCCCAGATTCATTAACCCAACAATTATTTATCAGTTTCTTTCTCTTACCATGTTGTTAACTAAATTCTCTCCATCGATCATCAAACAACTAGGATTTCACAAACCGAAACATGAAAGTTGAAAACAAGCTTAGTCGAACAGAACCCAACACACATGTAAAAAGTAAACACACAGTACAAAACTAATTCATCAGATACCTCTCAAGCCCATTTATTCAACGATACTAATTGGTTACATTAACGCTCGCACACGCTCACTGTGGCAAGTGGCAACGGGCGATTGCCTAATGGATCTGGACCTCCTTAACAGCATCTTTGGGCCTCTCGGTCCTGGGAACGGTAATCTGAAGCAGCCCATCTTTCAACTCGGCCTTGATCTCATCCACTTTGGCGTCTTCCGGCAGCAAGACGGTGGTATGGTAAAACCCGTAGCTCCGAGCCGACCAGAACTCGTCGTCGTCCGATTCATTTTCCCCACCACCGCCACCTCCTTGTGCTTCCTCTTTGCGCTCCCCCTTGATCGTCAAAACGCCGTCGTCTACCGTGATCTTGAGGTCCTCCTTGGACAGCCCCGGCACCTCGTAGCGGAGCTTGTAGCACTCGTCTTTCTCCTTGAACCGGCCGATGAGATTCGACGGCGTAAGGTGCAGGTTCTGGAACAGCCTGTTTATGTTATCCGTCGCCTGCAGCAGCGCGTTGCCCAGCCCCGAAGGGAAGAATTCTACTCCGGAAAATTAATAAGAGTCTCTTCTAATTAATTAATTAATTAATTAATAGGTCGAATTATTGGAACTGATTGAATGGCATTAATTTACCTTGAAGGGCGGGTACGAAGTCGCGGCCGTTGCCCCTCCAGAGGGCGGTGGGGGGCCTAATTCTCTTGCCTCTGCGCCGGGTTTTGTCGTCGGTGGTTGTGGTCTCCACGGCGACCTGCTTCCCGTCGGTCGTCTCGCCAGCTGCGGCGCTTGTCATAAACCTCTTATTAGGTGATGACCAGCTGTTCTTCATCATCAACCGATCCTCCTCGTAATGTCTGCTGCTACACCAGTGGAAGCAGTTCCGATCACCGGTGGCGAGCGGCAGAGGAGGAGTTGGTGTAGTAGTGCGGCCAGCGCAGGACAAGGCCCGCTTGCTCAGATTCCTCATTAACCCCAATCGTGCCTGCAGAGCCATCACGTAATTAATATCACACGGATTGAATTTGATTTGCGCCTTGGACTTGCTTGCTTGCTTCACTCCTTGGAATGGTGGTAACGAATTGAAGGCACTTAAATAATGATGGGAAATTGCTATTAGTTAAAATTAAAGTGGCTAGCTCAGCAAATTTCAGTTGAAGGATAAGAAGCGTCGACGAGGTTCTGGGACAGGGCTAGAAGGCTCCATTAGCTTGCCTTCCCTCCCTGGGTGCTTCTGGAGTACTTCTACAGCCTACAGGGGTATTCAATCACTCCCTACTGCTGCCTCATTCCTCTGGAACCTTTTACTTTTTTCTGTCCTTTTGTGGACCGTATGCATATATACATATCGTTACTTCTACGGAGAATTCACTATTCAGGAAGATTCGGTATTCCCAAAGATCACACCATATGGGCCTGAAGATGTTAACTAGTCCACCGAAAAAGTCAGCCCAACTCCAGTAGCACGCTCCAACCCGGATCGAGTTGCAGATTGCATGGGGAAAAAGACTAAACGGCCCGTTCAGTGAATAGTTAAATTACTAAACTTGCAGGTTCTCTTTTCATAATATTAATAAAATTTAAAGGGTAAATTGCAAGTTTGGTCACTGGAATTATTATAAAAGTTCACGTTTGCCACTAAGATTAATTTATTCCATCCGTAATCACTCAAATTAGTTACACAATCCAAGTTTGGTCACTCGCCGTTAGTCTCCGTTAACTTTTTGCTAAGGTGGCAGTCAACTCTTATAGTTGACCGTTAAATAGGTGATGTGGCAATTAAAAAATAAATAAGAAATAAAATTTAATCTATTAAAAATTCCACCTCATTATCATAATAATTAAAAAATAAATTAAACAAAAAATTATAATGAAAATGAAAATTTTCTTCCCAATCCCACCATTGTTTACTACCCTAATATCCCTTCGCCGGCGATCACCATTGTTCTCCCCACTGGGACACCAATGGAGACCTTCCATCGGAATCGCTCGATCCCATAACGGACTTCGAGTAGACGAGCATCCCAATCGAGGGTCTGGGTAAAGCATGTAAGCTCTCAGACATCTTCATTGGCGAACAGCCGAAAATATATCCATCGACGTCGGCTGGTACGTGGCACGACGACCGAGTATCGGAGACGCTGTAATCAACCAGTGAAGATTCAGACAACGGCGAAATAGACGGCGACAAGACCAGTGCCTTAATCAAGTTTACCAATCACGGCAAAAGAATCTTAATCCCACTATTGCAAAATCGAAGCCCAGATTCTTGAGCCTTTTGCTTGGTATTCGTATGCTCGAGGTCAGATTAGCCGTTGTCATAGTCGACGATGAGACGGTGGACTGCTCGTGGTCGACGATGTGGCGATAGCACTGTCGAACTCCATGGACAAAGCAGAAGAAGGTGAAGATGAAGAAGAGCTCGAGGCCCCTGTAGCAGCAACGGTCAAAATGAAGAAAAGGGAAAGAGGCGCGTTGCTGAAAGAAGAGAAGAAGAAGACCCAAACGACATCGTACAGCACAGTAAATAGAATAGTTTAAATATTAGTTCTTTTAGTTTAGCTGTCCAGTTTCCAGCTGCCACTTGTCTCGTTTTATATGGACAAGGTAGTTAGAATCTGTTTGTCCTGTAGTTCCTATTTCTCTGTACATATACCAGCAGCTTTGCTGCAGCAATCATTGAGAAAATCATTCCACAAAATCGTCACTACTTTCAATTATTCTCATGGTATCAGAGCCTCTGGCTTTCCTCATCTAGGGTTTCGTGAACCTGTTCTAAAGCGCCGCCAAGGCGACTTACCAAGAAGATTCTTCTTCTGCAACACGAGCTACAGCAACTGAAGGACCTCAGCCACAACGTCAGGCAGTCGATCCCTACTATTTCAACCAAAATGAAAACCTGTCTCAAGGTATAATCTCTGTCAAACTTGATGGGACAAACTATCATGTCTGGAGTAGATCAATGCGTATAGCACTTAAAACCAAGAAGAAACTTGGGTTTGTGAATGGAACCTTACCTATGCCTCAGCCAACAGATCCAGATTATGAAATCTGGGATCAGAGTAACACCAACGTGATGGGTTGGATCTTGAACTCCTTAGCAGATCCTATTGCTGAAGCAGTCATGGATAATGAGACTGCGTTGGATCTCTGGAAAGATTTACAAGAAAGGTATGGAGAAGCTGACTCAGTCAGATTGGCTCATGTTAGAGGAATGATAGCCTCTTGCAAACAAAACAACAGCTCTGTCACAGAATACTACAACATATTGGGTGTTCTGTGGGCAGAATTCATGTCATTTAAGTCAATTCCTGCTTGTGAATGTGCAAATACACCTCATACCATGAACTGTGTTACATATGCTGCAGTCAAGGGTTCACAAGAGCAAGATCATACCATTGATTTCATCATAGGTTTGAATGATAATTTTGAAATGACTAAGAATCAGTTACTGATGATGGATCCTGCACCAAATCTTAAGTCAGCATACAAGTATGCACTGAAATTAGAAAGACAGATGAGTAAGCAACCTGCAAAAGAAGCAACTGGTGTGGACTCAGTTGCACTAGCTGCTGCAAATCAAGCAAAGGGACGAGAACTGTGGCGATGATATGTCTGATGGAAAAATTGTGGAGAAGATTCTCAGGACCTTACCTGAGAAATTTAATTATGTGGTCTGTTCTATTAAGGAATCCAAGGATATTGATTTTTTAGCAGTTGATGCTCTTCAAAGTTCACTTCTGGTTCATGAACAAAAGTTCAGCAGGAAGGCTGTCAAAACTGTGAAAGAAGAGGATCAAGCTCATAGAGTTTCTCATGAGTATGGGAGAGGAGGAAGAGGCCAAGGAAGAGGTTTTTGTCCAGGAAGAGGCAGGGTTAGATGTCGAGGCTGGAACAAAGAAGCCATTGAATGCTTCAGATGTCACAAACTGGGGCATTTCAAGTATGAACCTGAGTTGTATAATGTCCAACATGCTCATTATGCTAGTTCCAGTCAAGTGTAGACAAGAGCACAAGGAGACATGAAAGATGATATGCTGCTCATGGCGTGTGTTGATTCTGAAGAATCAATGGAGTTGGAGGAGGAGACATTGGGATTGATGGCCCTGCTGGAAGAAGTCAAGCAAGACAAGCATGAGCAGTGGTGGTTCTTGGATTCGGGCTGCAGTAATCACACGATTGGGGATAAAAGGTGGTTTACTGAGATGGATCATGGCTCCAATGGAGTTGTAAGGCTTGGAAATGATAACAAGCCGGAGGTTGCAGCAAAGGGAAGTATTAAAATTGAGGCTGCTAACATGAATATGATCATCACTGATGTGTTTTATGTTCCTGGTCTTAGAACAAATCTCTTAAGCATGGGCCAGTTACGAGAGAAAGGTTTGGCCTTTCTTATTCAAGATGGGAGTTGCAAAATCTTTCATGGAGAAAAGGGCTTATTGCTGCAAACTAAGATGAAGTCAAACAGGATGTTTGTTATCCATTCTGAGTCTGAAAGAATTCAACAGGAGGCCCAGTGTTTTCAAACTGCTAGCAGCAGGGAGAAGGAACTAGTCTTATGGCATAGAAGGTTTGGTCACCTCTCACTCAAGAGTCTGCAGCAACTTCAACAAAAGGGTTTTGTAGTTGATTTGCCAAAGCTGAAGGGTGAACTGGGAATCTGTGCTACCTGTCTAATTGGTAAACAACATAGAAAGCCTTTTCCAAAGAAGAGCAAGTGGAGAGCAGGTGAAAGGCTGCAGTTGATCCATGCTGATTCGTCTGGACCTCTTACTCCAATGTCAAATGGTGGGAAGAGGTACATTTTTACCTTAACTGTTGATTTTAGAAGAAAGTTGTGGGTTTACTTTCTATCGGAAAAATCAGAAACTTTGAGTTGGTTTAAAAAGTTTAAGGCTCACGTTGAGCAAGAAACTGGTTCAAAGATTCAAGGACTGAGAACATATAGGGGAGGAGAATTCATGCTAACTGAATTCAAGGATTTATGTGATGATTTAGGCATAAAGAGGCAGCTCACTGCTGCTCTAACACCCCAACAGAATGGGTGGCTGAAAGAAAGAATAGAACATTTCTTAATATGGTGAGATGTATGTTAACAGACATGAAGGTACCTGCAGTTTTCTGGCCAAAAGCTGTTGCTTGGACCACTTACATTCTCAACATGAGTCCAATAGTGGCTAATGATGGAAAGACACCACAGGAACTGTGGACTGGACATCCTCCCTCAGTTTCACACTTCAAGGTTTTTGGATGCACTGCCTATGTGCATGTTACTGACCAGCAACGAAGAAAGCTAGATGACAAGAGAACTACGCCCCCCGCCGTCTGGAGGGGCAACGGCCGGGAGTTCGTTCCTTCCCTTAAAGGTACGTACCTTTCAATCAATTAGATCCCAATAATTCGAGTTATTAATTAATTGGTTTAATTGCATGGTTGGTCACTGAGATTACAAAAAACGTTCAAGTTTGGTCACTCGAAATATTTAAATCCATTGGTGATACTTCAGTTTACTGAAACCGTTCACATTTGGTCACTCTCCGTCAAACTCCGTTAACTTTGGCTGATGTGGCAGTCAACTCTTAAAGTTGACCGTTAACTTAGTGACGTGGCAATTAAAAAATAATGAATAAAATAAATTTAATTTATTTTAATACCCAACTCATTTTTACCATAAAATAAATAAAAAAGAAATAAAAAATTATAATTATTAATTATTATCAAATTAAAAGTGGCACCGGACACCACATCCCTTCCCCGCAATCACTTCTTCTCCGCTCGGGGTTGCCGCCGACCGTCAGAGTACTCGATTATCTTCCCTCTCGGCCCCTCTCCCCACCACGAAGAAATTGAATCCGTGGAGATGGATTGGGTGGTTCTCCGGCGAGATGATCCCAGTGTCCTGCATCACCAGCTGAACTGTAGAATTGTAAGCCAACCTGTAAACCTTCGTCCCTTTCGTGGTCGCCAGATTCCCCGGCGGGGTTCCCGTGTAGTTGAAGACGTGGGCATTACAAATGTAACATTGTTGATACTTGCGACCACTCTGCTGCCGTTCCCGGCTTTGCAAGTCAGGCACGGGTTGATTCCCAACCGACCGTGAAGAAGAGGTTGTGATCGACGGTTTTCGGGACGGCGGCGGGGAATTTCTTGGAGTTGAGGCTTCAGAGAGCGTTTGTGAAAGCGTTGGCCACTGCGGTTGCGTTCTTGGGAGGTGGAATTGTCAGAGTCGTTTGGGTAGTGGAGAGGGTGCCGACGTAGCTGACGGTGGCTGTAGCGGTCTTATTGTCGACGGCGATTGGAGCGTTCATGAACGGTGAGGCAGCCACCAGGTATTTCCCTGAGCTTTGATCTGCTGAGACCAGGACGTTTGTGGTTTGTCCTGGAGCGATTAGGAATGTGTAGGTTTTGAATGGTTTGACATAGGTAGCATCGACCTCCACTACTGTAAGTTTGTGGCCTGCGATTTTGAAGAAGAGTTATGGACGGACATCTTTGGAATACTGGGAACTCCGACGGTCGGCGGCAACCCCGAGCGGAGAAGAAGTGATTGCGGGGAAGGGATGTAGTGTCGGTTGCCACTTTTAATTTGATAATAATTAGTAATTATAATTTTTTATTTCTTTTTTATTTATTTTATTATGGTAAAAATGAGTTGGACATTAAAATAAATTTATTTATTATTTTTTAATTGCCACGTCACTATGTTAACGGTCAATTTTAAGAGTTGACTGCCACATCAGCCAAAGTTAACGAAGTTGGACGGAGAGTGACCAAACGTGAACGATTTCAGTAAATTGAAGTATCACCAATGAATTTAAATATTTTGAGTGACCAAACTTGAACGTTTTTTTGTAATACCAATCATTCAATTAACCCTTAATTAATTAAAGGGACTCTTAATTTTCCGGAGTAGAATTCTTTCCTTCGGGGCTGGGTAACGCGCTGCTGCAGGCGACAGGGACCATAAACAGGCTGTTCCAGAACCTGCACCTTACGCCGTCGAATCTCATCGGCCGGTTCAAGGAGAAAGACGAGTGCTACAAGCTCCGCTACGAGGTGCCGGGGCTGTCCAAGGAGGACCTCAAGATCATGGTAGACGGCGGCGTTTTGACGATCAAGGGGGAGCGCAAAGAGGAAGCACAAGGAGGTGGGATGAGTAAAATAAAATAATTTTGATTTTCTCTTCCTGGGATTGCGGGGAAGGGAAATCTGTTTCTGTGACGACACTCTGATGACAGTGGTATCTTTTGATTCCTAGGCGGGAGGTTCTGCTCTGATCTGATCTGAAGTTAGTTAGATATATTACCTAACTTGATATATGACAGAGTTAAAACCTCAAAAAGCTATGTATGTTTTTTACTAGATTGGGCAAAACGCACGCGTAACGGTGGCTGCTTGGGGTTGGGTGCTACGTAGACGAAAGAGATATCTGTGAGAGGGTTTCCCTTCTGCTTCTGCCTCTGCCTCCACCTCCGCCTCCCTCCGTGGCTTCTCTTCTTAACCAGCCCTTTGTTCTTCGGAGCCTTCTCCTCAATGGATGAAGCTATGTATTGGTGTTGGCTCAGTATCTATGTAATTCAGCATCCCAGCAGCAGCCAAACAACACAACAGCATGGTTCTTTTGTATTGGGGAGAATTGGGATCCATTTGATACGAAAAAGAAAGAAAGGATCGAGCTTTCTATGATGATTTGATTTGGATCACATGGGGAATATCTGCTTCTCTATTGGTTTGTATTCAATTCCATTCATCCTAGAGTCTTCGTCATTTTTCTTCCTCTTCTTCCTCAACTCCCTAATTGACTCTTGTTTTGATTAGATCCAAAGTTGTGAAGAAGGTGAATTAGCTGATTGAATACAATAGGATGGATATCCCATATGATATGGCTATCTGTTCTATTCATCCGTGCTCGTGCCTCCCCACTGAAGGTTTGTCCAGTTTTTTATTTATATTTTTCATGGGTAATCAAAAATTTCATTGAAAACTCAAGGTGCAAGGATACACCACTTCCTTGTCACTAAAGTAGTTCAGAACCAACACAGCTAACTCCTCACAACAGTTACACCCTACTACTATCAACTGAAACTACTCTAACACTTTGTACATCAACAAAATCATGATGCAAAGCCTCATTCCCAGCCACGGCTGACTCCAGGATATGTTGAATCTAGGCAGCATATAGTTCGACCAAATCAAGTAATCCCTGGGAACCTTGCGTTGCCTTTGCCTGAGATCATTCCATACCAGTTTAACAGAGTATTTAGTCAATTTCTTTTGATTCCAGAAAACTTGATTATCCCAGCAAGTAATCCAGTTACTAACCTTTTCTCTAGACTTCAGTAATTTCCTCCATATCAATGAACCACTACTGCTGATGGTCACTTCCCATAGAGACAACCCCTTCAGCCTATATATATTAATTCAGGCCACCCCCCAAGACCCACCCTTAGTGAGAATGTTCCATATATGTCGAGTGGAGCAAGCTAAGTTCCAAGTTCTTAAGCTTTTAATTCCCAGCCCCCCTCCATTTCTTGGAAAAGAATTCTGTCCCAAGCTACTACAGCTCTTCTCCTCACTGAATCCTCATCAATCCCCCACAAGAAATTACTACATTTGACCTCCACCTCTTTTATTACTGACAGTGGCAACAGGAAAACATTCATCCAATATTGCATCATGCTACTTAGTACTGAGTTAATCAACTGTACTTTACCTGGGTAGCTTAGCAGCTTTGGCTTCCATCCTACAATTCCATTGGTTATTCTGTCAACCAAAATCTTACAGTCAGATGCACTTAGTTTACCAGCTATTAGTGGTAGTCCTAAGTACTTGACTGGAAGCTTGGCAGTCTGAAATCCCGCAGTTGCAGCAAGCTCCTCAAGTTTTCCTTCCGGTAATCAAGCATAAAACAGTTGACTTTTTTCAGGATTGAACCTTAAGCCAGACATTTTGTAAAACTGCTGCAACAGACCACAAACCCCCCTCACTGCAGCCTCTGATCCATTTGAGAAAATAAGCAAATCATCTGCGAATACCAGATGTATTATACCAATATGATTACAACGAGGGTGATAGGGCAGAACTCCTGTGTCAGCAGCCCTCTTAAGAATGCAAGACAAAACCTCCATGGCCAAGGTGAAAAGGAAAGGAGACAGGGGATCCCCCTGTCTCAAACCCTTCTTTGCTGGGAAATAGCCACATGAACCACCATTAATTGACACACTTTACATAGGTGAGGTAATTCAAGAAGCTATCCAGTTAACAAATTGCTCAGGACCCCCATAGCTCTCATCACTGTTAACAGAAACTGCCAGTCAACGGAATAAAATGCCTTCATCAAATCAATCTTCATTGTGCATCTAGGGGATATGATCTTCTTGTTATAGCCATTAACCAACTCAACTGCTAACAAAATATTTCACTAATACTCCTCCCCTTCACGAAAGCAGACTGACTTCTACTAACCAGACTTGGCAAAACAGTAGATAACCTATTAGCTAAAACTTTGGTAATGCACTTGTATAGAACATTGCAGCACGAGATAGGTCGGAAGAGCTTCATGTAGTCTGCATTCTCTACCTTCGGTATTAAAGCTAGAATAGTAGAGTTAATTTCTTTTGGAAGATGACCAGTGGCAAAGAAACTTCCCACTGCAGCACTCACTTCATCCCCAATTATTCCCCAAGCAGTACTATAAAAGTCCACAGAAATAATAACAGGCCCAGGGGCCTTATTAAGACTCATTCCAAACATTGCTTCTCTAATTTCTTCTTTTGTAACCTCTCTACATAAGTTGGAAGCTGCATCCCCTGAGAGTTGATGGAAAACTAGAGACCTCAGTCCTTCTACAGAGCTTTCTTCCACTTCTTCATTTTTCTTACCAAGCAAGTTTTGATAGAACTCAACTGCAAGTTTACCTATCTCTTCAATATCAGTTACCTCAGAACCATCTTCCTTACGAATCATAGAGATATTTTTCCTATGCTGCCTGATCTTAAGAGATTGATGGAAATATCTCGTATTAAGGTCCCCTACCATGACAGCCTGCACTCGAGCTTTCTGTCTATAACATGCCTCCTCAGCTAATTGAAGCTCTCTACATATCTGGCACATTCTGACTCCTTTGCAAATGAACTTGAAGCAGGATTGGAGAGCAGTTATCTGAGCATCCTCAAGTTCCTTCTCAGCAGCTCTAGCTCTTAATTGAAATATCAGAAAACAATTCCTTATTCAACTCCTTCAATTTTCTTTTCAACAACCTTAACTTTTGACAAACCCTATAGAAAGGGTAACCTGCTACATAAGTACTCCACACTTCCTCTAAGATCTCATTGAACTTTGGGTGCTTCCCCCAAAAGGAGAAGTATTTGAACGGTTTAGGCAAGTTTTTTTGAGCTGGAACTGAATGAAGCAACAAGCCACAGTGATCTGAAACTGTACCAGGGGTAGTGGTGCTAGCCAGCTATTAGGAAACGAGGTTAACCAATCATTATTGACAAATTATAGTACTCCACAGAAGCATTAAAACCAGGTCCTTCATCTGGGGCAAATCTCAAGGTTTTTGGGCATGGGGAATCCACTCCAATCACCACGCAGCACTTTCGTACCCGAATTGATCACCCATTTTGGGTTTGTCCAGTTTTTCCACTTGAAGAGTCCTTCATTGTCTCTTGTTTTGATCAGATCCAAGATGTTATCAAGGTGAACTGATAGATCTCTGATGGGTTTTATGTTCCTCTTGTGTTTCTGGAGTATAAAGTTGTTGACTTCTGATCCAATCTCCAAAAACTGCTTCTTTGGCCTTTTGGTCAATGGTTCAAACTTTACTTAGATCTGGGTTTTGTTTGTTTTGACAATATAATTCAATCTTTGGTGGGGGATGCTTTGTTTCAACAATCTGTGTGTTCTTGCAGTCATTCATGGATTGATTCTGCAATGAGATTATCACTAGGTCGTTTAAAACTTAAAAGTAGGTCATTGCCTAGCAGTAGGGTTTACACTTGGTTCAGGTTTATGATTTATCAGATCTGGGTTTGACATAGTAATTTCAATCTTTTGGGCTGCCTTTGTGTTAACAATCTGTCTGTTCTTGAAAATTTTGATTCGTACTTCAATGAATAATCCCTAAGGTTAGAATATAGTACGTCATTTGTATTGACATAAGGCTTCCTATGTTACATGTTTCTTATTATTTATCAGGGGAGAGGATTATATTGGGATGATATGTTATTTTTGTAGACTCCAGAAATCAAGAAGACTCTACTGCCACCCGAAAACCAGGAGCTGCAATCTCTGGCTGCTTGTAGTATTCATGCTTATGTAGTCATGGATAAACTGCATAAGCATGACTTCTGGCTGAAATCATCCGTGGAACCACGATAGGTGTTATGAGATTCAAGTGGCTACTTGGTTCAAGACTCGTGTCCTGCGTTGCAGGCTTGCCAGCAAATCTCCGTTTTGTGTTTTTCGGGGACAGGAAGTTATTGGATAGCTTTTGGGAGTGAACTCAAAGAGTGTTGAGGATGTTTGATGAGCGCAGATGGCTCATTTCAAGATTCCACTTAACCCGAGGTATATCATAGCTTACAACAAAATAGGCTTGGCATTCATAACCAACAGAAGGCTAAACCTTTATATGCCCTTAGCAGAGAAATTGCATTTCTAAAGAGAGAATCTCAGCTGAGAAGGAAACTGAGCTTAGATTCTAAAGAACGAGAGCACTGCCTGGGGTCCTCATCATCATGCATTTTATGGAGAAAGCTGTCATATGCTGCTAGTACATTGCTGCAACAAATCGCATATGTAAACCACCAAATTAGGTTCAGTTTGCGTATTTATCAGAAGGGCCCAAATGGGAAAAATAAAAAGAATCAGGGTTGAAAGGGGAAAAAACCACCAGTAGCAGCAGATCATATATAAGTGGCATCATCTCCTATTGGGCGTTTAGGTTTCCCATTTTGTTTCTTCTCCGCTCAAAAGGAAGCCGGGGTTCCGCCTACAAAATTCTTTCCTGCTGTGGCACCTGACTGGACTCACTGTCCCCTTCCTCCACCAGGTACTTCCGTGTTTCCTTCATCAGGCTTAAAACCTGCATTTCTTTCTCAACACCCCTCTCTTCTAGTGTGTAAAGAGCCTCTTTATAGTGAAGTAGACTTGATTGAATTAGAGGAAAATATGAAGCGTTGGGAGTCTAGATCTCTGTTAACACTGTCACTACTTAGTATTGGGTCTTCACTGAGTTTTGGTTTGAGGTCATTGAGTATTCCCAACATAGGAGTGTTTGGGGGAGTGGAGGATTGTCAACTGAGTTTTGTAATTTTTAGAGGAGCCGACAGCCTCAACTACATTGGAATTAGGTCATTCTGGAATTGAAATCTACAAGGGGCAATGGGTTACAGAGGTGGCAAGGGCGTGCCCATCAAGCTAGAGTTGAGTGTCAATAATGTTGTAGGGCTTGCTGAAGGATCCATTCTGGACTTGTGTTGTGGCATTTGGAGGGTTTCAAGTTATGTGGTGGGTTGGCCTGTACAATGCTGTGTGGTGGTATTGTGTGGTGCTTGTACGTTTTAAGCTTTGTGGATGTCTCGTACATTTTAGCAGGAGGTCAGATTGGTGCAGAGCATGAGAGGTTCCTGGAAGAAGCTCCTTGTTTATTTTTGCCTAATTTTCTTTGGTTGGGCATACAGGTGTGTCCCTGCTTGTGTTTTAGAAGTGGCCCTGTCTGTGGCGTGGATGTATATGTTATGTTATTTTCCCTACCTCTTTGATTTCTGTGTGTTGTTTCTGGTGTCTGTTAATTTTCTTGCCAAACTCTGTTTCTGATGCTTTATCGTGACAACTTCAATTGTTCTTCTTGTGTGGCTTTAGATGGAGTCCTCATAGATAATATGAATCAATCAATTGATGCTTCGTAGATTAAGTGCATGCTACCATTATTGACTATCAGTTTTAGTGATTGGCAGTACTTTTATTTGAAAATGGGGAAGGACAAAGGGCAGTCTTCAGGTAGGAAGAAGCTCAAGGACCCGTCAATCATCAATTGGGCTACTGCAAATAATAAAACGAAAAAGAGTGTCTTTGAGACTGAAATCATAAGCCAAGGCGATGAACGTGAGTTCTTATTGCATTGAATTTTGGATGTTAGGTTGCTACTTGAGACTGAATTGTTTTTGTTTTTGGATTAGCAATTTGCTGGGCTGTTTCAACTTGTGCTGTACTTGAAGGATGTTTCAATATAACTTTGGACGGTAGCAAGCATCGGATCAAGGCTTCGATTCAAGAACTTTTAGATTATGCTATAGAAAAAGATGCAGACAAAATTGCATTGCAACCGGTGAGGTTGACCAATGCATGGCGACAGATCGATAGTCATGGACTCTCCCAGTATGATGATTATGATAAGTATAAAGGCAAACCACAATTAAGCTATCAAATGTCAGAAAAAGGAAAAGTGAGTTATTTCTGTCCATGCATATATTTACTACTTTCATTGTTTTCTTTAAACAAACGCCAGTGCTAATTGTTCTTGTTTTTTCCCCAGGGAGTTCGCCTTGAGATTGTTAGTTTTGAGGAGATGGTACACAATGACTATAAAGGCGGTAGGATAGTGAAAGTGAAAGATCATGACATTGAGCAGTTGCTTCATCAACACCCAGTTGTGGGAGGTTTAAAAGTTTACCCTTCCTTGAGGAATTGGTCAGGGGTAAAGTCCAAATGTTGTCTTTATTGTTAGATAAATAAATTTTATGTCATCGCATCGCATGTATGTTATTTATATCTAATATGGATGCTTTTACTTATGTACTTAACAGAGTAACATCTACATGGGGCCCACTCAAGAAGAGTTTGATGCTTACAAAAACATGTCACTGCTTCAGCATTCAATAGCTATTGTCGGATTTGGTATCGACACAACCGGAGAAGAGGATATCGAATATTTCATCATTAGAAACTCCGAAGGAGAAGAATGGGGCAATGGTGGTTATGGGAAGGTGATCCGCAATCACAAGAGTATGCCCTCTGTATTCGTGTGTTACTCATACCCCATAGTGGACCTTTCAAATTTTCCTACTGAGGAAGAAGAGATGTGAAGACATAACAATCTTGAATTGGTACTTTTAGCTTTCCTAGTGGTCATTGGAGATACTTCTTTTATCATTTTGGCTCCTGACTGTATTTGCTATTTCATCTTGGAATTGGTACTTCATCTATCTTTCCTAGTGGTGACTGTTGACTGGAGATACTTCTTTTCTCCCTCCCTCTTCTTTCGGTTTGTTGGCGGAAGCCACCCCTACTAGCAATTTCCTGAATGTTATATAAATGAATATATCTGTTGTTACTTTTGTTTAGTACTATTATTAATTAGTGCTAAGTTATGCTAGAATTATGATAAGCCGAGATGGTTTGGTTTTTGACTTATTATTAGTGTCGGTTAGCGGAAGGAACCCAATCAGTCTGCAGCGTTAGATGTGATATCCAAATAACCAATAGGAAGTACGGAGATAATTATAACTGTAGTAAAATGTGACCTTATTCCTACATTCAGGGTAAGCACCAATTGATGTCGAAAAAGTTATTCTGCTAACAACAATATTTGTTAGCAGATACTAATAGGTCCGGATTGGAGGTCACGTCGGCCCAGGTTTCATCCAACGAAGGAGAAAGGCGTGCTTGTGGTGGCTCACTTAAGTGAGCTGGTGATGGGCTTGCGAGGAGAAGCCGACCCAGCGTGCGGCGCGAAAAACGAGCCGAGAAAGTGGCTTTGTGGGCCCGCTTCAGTTAGTGCGGGATTTTGGAGAGGAATGAAAAGAGAGAACGAAAATTGTGAGCTCACGTGGCCATGTGATATTTATGTATGTTTGTTTGTGTGGATATTTTTTATTTTCAGACGATTATATTCTGTGTTGACTTTGCATCATTGTTGAACTAAACTAGTCTTCCTTCGCAAACCAATATCCATCATTAAATTAATGTTTACCAAACCCAAAATTACCCAACCACCCGAAAGTGAATATTGTGTCTTCCATCAAATTTGTGAAGGACTGGAATATTGTGTCTTCATCAAATTAAACACACTATCAAGTCCTAACACATAAGGCTTGAAACCTTAGTTAGGGCTGCCCGCCGAGGGCCCATGGGTCGAAGGCCCATTAAATAATAATAGGTTTTATGGTTTAGAGTTTGTGTTACGGTTTAGGGTTAAGGGTCTAGCTTTGGTTTGAGTTGATATTAGTTCATGTTTTCGAAAAAATTTCTTGGACGTTTGGATATTCTAGTGGGGCACTTTTGGTAACTATTAAGATGTTTTCCAACATTTATTTAAGGGTAAATACAATAAATTAGCCACAACTATTATGAAGCGGGGAATTATATCCACAACTATGTAAATTCAAATTATTAGCCATAAGTATTGTTGAGGGTCAAGATATGGCTAACTGTCCGTTACTATTATTGAATTTTTAATGGAGAAGGTCACGTCATCAGCCACGACAGCAGCCATGTTGGACTGTTTTTAATTTATAACTTTAAAACATAAAAGTTTAGAGAGCATTACTAACGAAATTGTTAATAGAGAGTTAACGTTTGGCTAATAATTTGAATTTCCATAGTTGTGGCTGTAATTCTCCGCTTCATAATAGTTGTGGCTAATATATTGTATTTACCCTTTATTTAAACATCTAGCACTTTTGGTAACTATTTGGATTAATGTACAACTATCATATATTAGTAATTGTGTGGTGGATATTAGTCAGTATGTGGTGGATATTATATAGTGTGTGGTGGATATTAGTCTGTTATATTTTCAATATTATTTAGGTGTCACTAGATATTGGTCTGAGACGTTCGGATATTATTCTGTAGGGTTTGTGTTAGGGTATAGGTTTTAGGGTTAAGAGTTTAATGGTTTAGTTTTGGTTTGAATTGATATTAGTTCATGTTTTCATATATTTGTCTGGGAAGTTTGGATATTCTAATGGGGCACTTTTGGTAACTGCCCATTAAATAATAATAGTTTTTATGGTTTAGGGTTTGTGCTAGGGAAGAGGGTTAAGGGTTTAGGGTATAGCTTTGGTTTGAATTGATATTAGTTCATGTTTTCGGAAATTTTCTTGGACGTTTGGATATTCTAATGAGGCACTTTTGGTAACTATTAAGATGTTGTCCAACATTTATTTAAGCATCTAGCACTTTTGGTAACTATTTATATTAGTGTACAACTATCAGATATTAGTCAGTGTGTGGTGGATATTAGTTTATTATATTTACAATATTATTTAGGTGTCACTGGATATTTTTCCGAGACGTTTGGATATTATTCTGTAGGGTTTGTGTTAAGGTTTAGGGTTTAGGGTTTAACGGTTTAGTTTTTAGGGTTTAGTTTTGGTTTGAATTGATATTAGTTCATGTTTTCGTATATTTGTCTGGGACGTTTGGATATTCTAATGGGGCACTTATGGTAACTTCCCATTAAATAATAATATTTTTTATGGTTTAGGGTTAAGGGTTTAGGGTCTAGCTTTGGTTTGAATTGATATTAGTACATGTTTTCGGAAATTTTCTTGGACGTTTGGATATTCTAATGGGACACTTTTGGTAACTATTAAGATGTTGTCCAACATTTATTTAAGCATTTAGCACTTTTGGTAATTATTTGGATTAGTGCACAACTATAAGATATTAGTCAGTGTGTAGTGGATATTATTCAGTGTGTGGTGGATATTAGTCAGTGTATTGTGGATATTAGTATGTTATATTTACAATATTATTTAGGAGTCGCTGGATATTGGTCTGAAACGTTTGTATATTATTTTGTGTGGCGTAGATATTTGTTATGGTGAACATATATTATTAATGGGTGGGCCCAGATCAGTTTAGGGCGGGATTTTGGGAAAATTGGGGAAAGTAACCCCAATTTGTATCCAAAAATCAAAGTGATGGGGCAATTAATGCCCTAACCACTTTTTATCTCTCAAGTCCTCCTTCTCTCTTCTTTTTCTCTGAAATCTCTCTTCCCCTCCTATGGAAAATACGCCGGCGGTGGCCTTCATCCTTCTTCTTCATCCTCTGCCGTCCAGGAAAAGGTCTAAGATGACGATCGGTGACGAGGGCGAGTTAGATCGTCCAGCAACGAACTCGTCCCATGAAGAAGACGATTTTGTTGATGATGTCTTAGATGGTTTGAGTAAACTACATGGTGGCGGTGTGCCTGGCTTCGAAGTAGTAGAAGAAGAAGGTGATTGTGGATTGACATATATATATGTTTGTGTTGTTAAGTTTTGGTTGAGAGCATTGAATGAAATTTAATGCTGTTGGTGTGAGTTTAATATTTGTTGCCGTCCTGGGATTCTATTACGATAAAGTTGGATACGATTTACCTACGGTTTGTTGGACATACTTTTTTTGTGTGTGTGGTTACGTGTCTGGGCCTTTTGCATATTTACTGTATTATTTTGGATACTAGTTTGTTTGACTATAGTGTGGATACGTTTTTTAAGCCATCCGATACTATTGTTATATTCATTGATATGAATTAGCCTACAGTTCACGGATTTATTTATACATATTCAGGGTATTATTTTGGGCGCTTTGGATACTAACATGTAATGGAAATATCTCGCAGCTCACAATACTTCGGACCTAGAAGACGAGGAAGCGCCGAATAACATTTATTTTCACACTAAGGATGAGTGTGTTCATTTCTACGAACGCTATGCTCACAAAAAAGGGTTTGCTGTTCAAGTAGATTCGGAACACTTAAAAAAAAGGAAGAATTCTGAAGGAGATGTGGTGGAAATTTATTCCTACCTTTATTATGTATGTAATAGACAAGGCTCCACTAGTGAGGTCAATGTTGAGAAACATAAACAGTTCGAGGACAAGGTTGTGGAGAGAAGTCGCCCTAAAAGAAAGAGGTCTCGAATTAGGGCTGGATGCTCCGCCCGTGTTCGTTTTCAATGGGATGAGAATAGGGCTGGATATGTGGTGCACAATTTTGTTGGTGCTCACTGTCATGATTTGCACTCCACCGGGCATACTCACTTATTCAAGTCAAACAAGTGCATGAGCGATGCTCAAGGACTTGTTGCTGAAGCAAATCGCAACGCCGGGATGAGTCTTAGGTCATCTTATCAACTACTGGCTGAGTGTGCCAGTGGGTATGAGAACCTGACTTTTACCAGATCTCATCAAAAGAACCATTTGAACAAGAAAAGAGAAAAAAATATGGCTCATGGCGAAACGGCTTTCTTGCTTGAGTACTTTGACGACCAAAAGGAGAAGCATCTCGAATTCTTTTATGTTGTATAGGTAGATTGTGAGGAGAAAGTTGCCAATAATTTTTGGACAGACAATAGGATGTGTGAAGATTATGCACTTTTCGGAGACTCGGTCTCCTTCGACACCACCTTCCGAACCAATGAACACTTCCGGCCATTGGGTATGTTAATCAACGAATTTCATTATTTTTTTGGATTGACATATATATATGTGTTTGTGTTTTGGTTGTTGATAACCCTTAACTATACATATATTCACCTACACTTTTACATCCTAAAATGACCTAAATTGTACCAAGTTCATTCGATTTCCCAATTTTATGCTTGGTTTTGTGTTTGAGTGATGTTTCAGGGTATTCTATCCAATAAGAACGGAATAATGTGTCAATTCAACAAAAAGATGGTTAGGTTTAGAAATCTTGCGTCGGTGGAACTCGAGCCCGCGACGTCTCAGGCGAGGGCAAAGAGCCGTACCACTTCGGCCGCGTCCCCTTTTGTTATCAATATACGAAACCCATCGTGTATTATGGCGATGAATTACGGAAAGAGAGCTAATTAACTGCCAAAGTGCAGAGTCAAACCACAAAGTGCAGAGTCAAACTGCCTACTGCTAAACATAAGGAAAAGCTGGTTCATTTTGGGATTCTAGTGTGAAGCTAGTAGCTGAAGCTAGTGGCTCACGTCCAAATAAAGAAGCAAGCAGCTCCATTATTGGGAAGCAAGCAGCTCCTTTATTGGGAAGCAAGCAGCTCCTCCATTTGTGTTCGTCACAGCTCGTAGAAAGCTAGTGACTCACGTCCAAATAAAGAAGCAAGCAGCTCCATTATTTGAAAGCAAGTAGCTGATAATTGCCTCGTCCATTAATGAAAGTGGGCAGCTGTCCAAGCAAGTAGCTGGCACAAATCACGTGGGAGTAAGCTAGCTGGCCCATTTATTGAAAGCAAGCAGCTGGCGCAAATCAAATTGGTAGAGAGACAAGCTAGCTGGTCCATTTATTAAAAGCAAGTAGCTGGCGCAAATCAAATGAATTTAATGGAAGCAAGTAGCTCAAGCAAGTAGCTGAAATTGTACTATAAATAGAGGGAGGGTTTGTGTTGAAAGGAGGGGGAGTACACACACTATACACCCTACTTCTATACTTTGTTCTTACTTTCTTGTATTTGAAGTTAGCCAAAACTCTGTCCACTTTTCATTCCAAACTCTTGTTACTTCTTTTCATTTCGTTAATCATATCTCGTATTTCATCCATCGTGGTTCTCATGTTCGTGTTCGTATTTGGGAATACCGTGGTATATTGCGTTATTGAGATTATCGAAGTAAGCTTCTGTTTTGTAGTGTTTTGATAATCATTTGTGGTGGTAGATTGGTCGGTTTCCACCGTCTTCGCCCAACGATTATTCCCCGTCGGAAGTTTTCTAAGTGTAGTCTATTAACTCAATATACATACCGTATTCTCAACCCCTCCGTCTTCGACGTCGTCATCATCATGGTAATGTTCTCAACCTTCATCTTTCTAAATCTCATCATGTCCGGCTAATCTTCTAGTTGCTCCGGATTTGATGAACCCTAATATGTTTTACATGGATTGAGTGGTATCTTTTTGATATAGACAAGAGTACTAGTACACGAAGTCTCTGTGGATACGACCTTGCTTCCTGCTATATTACCTTAGAACGATAGGTACCCTTGCCTATTTTTCCTGTGTTAGTTTCGGGCGATCAGTTATCCTGGGATAGAATGAAATTTAATGCGTTGGTGTGAGTTAATATTTGTTGGTCATCCTTGGATTCTATTACGAGTGAGTTGGATACAATTTACCTACTCTTTATCGGACGTAGTGTGTTACCTCTGTTTATGTTGTGTGGATACTATTATGAGCCTATTGGAATATTTACTGAAGTATTGTGGATAATAGCCCGTTGGATTATAGTGTGGATACTTGTTTGGAGCCATCAGATACTATTGTTAGATTCATTGATATGAGTTAGCTTATGTTTACGGTTATGCATTTTCTTTAATATTTGTTTTTTGCAGGGATGTTTGTAGGTTTCAATCATCACCGACAAACTTGAGTGTTTGACGCTTGTTTGTTATATGAAGAGACAACTCCTTCTTTTGAATGGTTTTTTGAAGCATTTAGTCGATGCATGAAGAGGAAACTCCTAGTGACCATCTTCACGGATCAAGGACGCCGGTATGGCAGTTGCCCTTAGAAAGGAGTGGCCTACTGTGTTTCATGCCCTATGTACTTGGAACATCCTCATGAATGCCAAGAAGCATCTTCGTAAAGACAAGGCATTTTAGAAGAAGTTTCAAAATCATCTTGCTTATCTTTTCTACTACGTCGACAGCGAGGCCGAGTTTCATGAGGGATGGAGTAGCACGGTTGCTGATTGTTTTCCTGGAAGTGAAACCGTGGATGGCCACCAATGGATGCAATATTTGAAGAAATTTCGTCATCAATGGTGTTCCTTGTATTTGAGAGATCAATTCACAGTGGGGATGTTGACAACGCAAGCTAGCGAGTAGTGAAATGCACAAGTGCGACTCTTCTTGAAACGGAGGCATAATCTCGACGAGTTTTTCATCCAGTTTACCTGGTATGTGATGAGAATACTACTTTGCTCTTGTAGGATATTATTTATCACCTTATGGATATTGAGCCGCGATGTGATGTTATTGGTACGTAATAGTGTGATTTAATTTTGTGTTGTTTGGATATTTTTATGTTATATATGGATATCATATAAGGCAATCAACATTTTGGTTTTCTTCATACATGCAGTTTGTTGGCTGAAAAAGGCGCAAAGAGACTGAGTCTGACTACAATGGGAAACAATCGGCCCCTTACATATTGTTGGAGAAAAGCTCGATCCTCCAACATGCTACCATGATCTTCACATTTAAAATCTTCTACCGGATTCAAGGGCAGTATCTAAAAATTGAAGACTATCTAATTGAGCTTGTCCCAAATACTAGGGATGATGGCTTCATCAGCTACCTTACATATAAGATAGAGGATGGTGAGCGTAGCGATGAACGTGTCACTCTTGTCGATATTTCTACGGCCACATTGGTATGAGAATGTAGGATGTTTAGAACTTTCGGGGTGTTATGTCGGCATATGCTTAAGGTGATTCGATTGCTTGGAGATTTTGGGATCGATAGTATGAGGACTATTCCAGATCATTACAGACTCAAGCGATGGACATTGGAGGCGAGAAGGAAAGAGGTTGTTGATGCTGATGCTTCAGTTGGTCCTTCATGGCGAACAGAACTTCCAAGCGCCTTAAATCGATCTCCAACACCATTGGAGCTCGGGAGAAGCTTGGAGAAGTGCCGATTGATTACCAGAAGCAGATTTTCATCCTTCACAGAATGATTTCCGCATCTGAAGCAAATTTCTCTTCTCTCTCTATGGAGTAATTTCTCTCACTCACCTGGGTATGAAGAACCCTAGATTTGTATATTAGGTTTGGTTGTATGAACCCAATTACAAGTTCTTTGATACTGAGTATGTTCAATTGAGGCATGATTTTCTGAATTGCTTGGATCCTGATCAAATTCCTATAGTTCCTGCTTCGACCTAGAAAGAGAATATATGCCTAGGTTGATAGAGCACCCTTGTAATTGAAGGTAGTGAATTGATGACTTTAGTCGAGGACTTGGTTCACTATTCTGTACTGGATTAACTCCAGAGAGGAGGTTTGGTATGTTAGGGCCTCAATCTGTTTACTTCGGTGCAGGTTAGTGCCCGCTGGGAATTCAGATTGAGAGGGTCTGGAGACCTTTAGTCGAGACTTCAGACTACCTAAGAACCTTCCGCAGTATAATTATCATTGAAATTGGACTGGGTGAATTACAACTTGGCTTAACTGTAGTCTAGGGGGAACCACATCTGGGTGACCTCTCTCAAACTTGGAACACAACCTTTGCTGCTTTTGTTTGCTAGTTTAATTGGAACTTCACTACAGTTGAACCGCTAAATAATAAGAATTTCACGGAGTAGTCATCACACTTAGGACCCGGGTTCAAATTTAAATGTAAACCCGCTATACTACGCATTAATAGGTGCTTACACTTGGCCACTTTCTAGTGTGACAGATGATGCAATCTGTCTTCACCTCTTCCCCCACTCTCTGGTGGGGCATGCAAAGAGGTGGCTAGAGACCCAACCACCATTTTCCATCACGTCCTGGAACGATCTGGCCGACAAGTTTGTGCACAGGTACTATCCGGCCTCGAAGACCTCGGAGATTCAGCGAGGGATCACTCATTTCCGCCAGGAGCCAGATGAGTCACTGCTTGATGCCTGGGAACGGTACTTGGGATTTTTCTAGTAGTGTCCCCATCACAGCTTTAGTGATGCATTCACTATGGGAAACTTCTACAGTGCTCTATCTCCAGAGAGCCAGAGGGTGATCGAGTCTCTATGCCCAGGAGGGGACATTCTCACTAAGACTCCACACGAGCTAAATTAGATTATCAGTACTTTGGCTACTAGAGATCATTCTTGGGGACATCACTAGAAGCAGGAACTCTCGGAATCGAGGTGTGCATTCTATGGAGGCTCGATCCGGGCTTGAGCGGGAGGTGGCTGAGCTGGTCCAGACATTAAAGCAGCCCAACAGTCTTATTCCTGGCAGAGGATTGGCTGCCCCTTCAGTTGCACAATGCCAGTGGTGTGAGAGTTCAAACCATTTGGTGGAAGACTACCAAGCTATGCGGGAGTCTTCTACACCCCAAGAGGCAAGAGTAGTTGGACTTCATCGCCAATGCTCGACGCTTTGATCCTTACAGTGGAACATATAATGAGGGGTGGCGCCAACATCCCAATTTCTCCTAGAATGGAAACAACAACAAAGCCACCAAGTCTCCCGGTTTCCCAGATAGAGCGGGTGGTTTTCAGCAAAGGCATCCTTTCCAGGCCAGACATGGTCCATTTCCACAGCAGCAACCTTATTAGCCTAGACTGGGGCAACCATTTCAGCAACAGCAGCGACAGTTTGTCCAGCCGACAGTAGCTCCAGCATAGGATGACCAAAACAACACTAGAGCACGGGGAACTCTGCCTTCCACCACCATTCCAAATCCTCGCGAGCTTCACCAACAGTTAGATGTCATCACTACCCGAAGTGGCAAGATGACATCTGCTATCCCTGCTCCGGCCAGACAGGGGGAAGCAACACTTGCTTCAGCACTTCCAGTTGACAAAGAAGAGGTGGGGATCGATACAGAAGCACATTCTCCCAAGCCACAACCAGTGGTTAAGGAGCATGTTCCCCAACTTCCCTTCCCCACTCGAATGCACAACGACAAGCTGGAGACTGAGTTTGCCAAATTCATGGCAATGTTGAAGCAGGTCAACATCAGCCTGCCATTCATGGAAGCACTGTCGAAGATGCCCAAGTATGCCAAATTCATGAAGGATCTCCTCACCAACAAAAAGAAACTTGGGGATCTCTCGACAGTGATGCTGAGCGAGGAGTGTTCTGCCATCCTGCAGAACAAGCTGCCCGAGAAGCGCAAAGACCCAGGGAGTTTTACTATCCCTCTTGTTATTGGCAGCATGCATGTAGTAAAGTCCTTGGCGGACCTAGGTGCTAGCATTAATGTCATGCCCTATAAATTGTTTAAGAAGCTAGGCCTAGCTGATCGCTCTATTCTGCATCCTATGGGTATCATAGAGGACTTGCTTGTTAATGTGGGTGCATTCACATATCCTGTTGAATTTGTTATTATGGATATAAATGAGGATGTGGATGTGCCTGGATTTTGGGTAGACCATTTCTCGCCACCGCCAAGGCGCTGATTGATGTGCATAGTGGCAAGTTAATTTTGCGGACTGGGAATGATGAACAAGCTACATTTTTTGTGTCCGATAATGCGAAGCATTCCCATTTTCATGATGACTTGGATTACTGTGATATGCTGGCTGATTTTGAAACCGCACTCGCCATCATGAGTGTGGGTACTGATGATGCCCTTGAGCGGTGTATTTTGCTAAGTGAGTAGGCATCGCAGGAGCTGCAGCTGGAGGAGCAGCTGGCCGCACTGGAGTGTGGCGAGTTCCTGGAGATTGATAAGCAGTTCAAACCAATCTCATCCTCTCCTTGCATCACCACCTCTCTGGAGGAGCCACCAGAACTAGAGCTAAAGCCCCTCCCTCCTCACTTTGAGTATGCGATTCTCCAGGAGGGGAACAAGCTTCCAGTCATCATTAGCTCGACCCTCACACCCAAGTAGAAAACCAGACTGGTGGCCCTGTTTAAGCAGTACGAATGAGCTTTGGCATGGAAGATCACTGATATCCGGGGAATCAATCCCTCTTTCTGTTCCCAACGGATACTGCTAAAGGATGAGATACGGCCAGTAAGGCAGCCCCAACGGAGATTGACACCGAACCTGGAGGCATTGGTTCTGGCATAGATTGTGAAGATGATGGACGTGGGGATCATCTTTGCAATTTATGACAGCGAATGGGTCAACCCCACTCAAGTGGTGCCTAAGAAGGGCGGGATGACCTTGGTAAAGAATGAGCTCATTCCGATGCGCACGGTGACCGGAAGGACCATTTCTCGTTGCCTTTCATTGACCAGATGCTGGAGAGTCTAGCGGGACACGAGTTCTACTAATTCCTGGATGGGATGTCTAGATATTTTCAGATCTCCATTGCACCGGAAGACCAGGCGAAGACCACCTTTACCTCCCCATTTGGCACATTTGCTTACCGAAGAATCCCGTTCGGGCTTTGCAACGCCCCAACCACATTTCAGCGATGCATGCTCGCCATCTTCGACCGACTGGTCGTAGAAATCATGGAGGTGTTCATGGATGACTTTTTGGTTTATGGGGACTCATTCTCACATTGTCTCCATAACCTGGAACTCGTCCTGAAACGGTGTGAGGAGACAAACCTAGCGCTGAGTTGGGAGTAGTGCCACTTCATGGTTCGCGAAGGCATAGTTCTGGGGCATAAGATCTCCAAGATGGGGATAGAGGTAGACAGAGCCAAGATCGAGACAATCAGCAAGCTGCCTCCTCCCACATCTATTAAGGGGATCCGCAATTTCTTGGGCCATGCAGGGTTCTACAGACGGTTCATAAAAGATTTCTCCAAGATCAACTTGCCCCTGACAAAGCTCCTTGAGAAGGATGCCCCCTTCCAGTTCACTGACGCGTGCACGACGACATTCACGACCTTGAAGGAGAAGCTCACTCATGCTCCTATCATGATCACTCCTGACTGGTCTTTATCGTTCGAGCTGATGTGCGACACCAGTTACTTTGCCGTTGGAGCTGTTTTGGGGCAGAGGCGAGATCAACACTTTTGTCCTATCTACTATGCCTCAAAGACCTTTAACGATGCCCAAGAGAACTACACCACCACAGAGAAGGAGCTGCTAGCGGTGGTGTTCGCCTTTGATAAGTTTCGTCCTTATCTAGTCTTGTCCCATGTGACAGTATACACGGATCACTCCGCAATATGATACCTGATGAGCTAGGCCGATGCCAAGCCTCGGCTCATACGATGGATCTTATTACTGCAAGAGTTCGACATCGAGATTCGGGATAAGAAGGGAGCCAAAAATATTGCTGCTGATCATCTCTCCCGGCTGTACGCTCCTCATGCTGACAACCTCGAGGAGGAGATCAACGACTCCTTTCCAGATGAGCGACTAATGATGATGTGCTTGGTGGAGAGTATCACCCTTTGATACTCCGATTTCACAAACTATCTGGTGGGCAAGCAACTAACAAACGGGATGACGACTCGGGCCAAGAGGAAGTTCTTCTCCGACCTGAAACACTACTTCTGGGATGACCCGCATCTCTTAAGGATCGGAGTCGATGGGGTCATCCGTCGATGTGTCGTTGAAAATGAGATGTGACAAGACTAGATAAGGAGAAAATGGTGGATCAATCTCGCAAGGATTGGTCCACCAAGCTCGATGATGCTCTCTGGGCATACCAGACTGCCTACAAGACACCAATTGGTACTTCGCCGTATCGGCTTGTCCATGGAAAGGCATGTCACTTGCCAGTGGAGCTAGAGCACAAGTCCTTCTGGGCCCTTAAGCTGCTCAACTTGGATGTTAGTCTTACAGGTTCTGAACGCAAATTACAGCTGCTAGAGCTGGAGGAGTGGCGTTACCACGCCTATGAGAACACCAAGTTGTATAAGGAGCAACCTAAGCGCCTTCACAATGCTCGCTTGAGGGGTCCGAAGGATTTTCAGGTTGGCGATCGAGTTCTCCTCTATAACTCTCGCCTGAAACTCTTTCTTGGAAAACTCCGCTCCCTGTGGACTGGACCGTTCACAGTCACACATGTGTTCCCGTATGGCACGATCGAGATGTGCCACCCCGCAGACTGAGCCGTTTAAAGTGAATGGCCATCGTCTCAAGCTCTATCTAGGAGACGAGGTCGAAAGTGCGGAGTTCGTAATTGAACTAGCGGACCCTTAGTTCCGTCATGGGCGTCCAGCTAAAAGGCGGTAAAGAAGCGCTTGTGGGGAGGCAACCTCACCACGGTTTGAATTTCTTTCCCTTTTTCCTTTTCAATTTTATCAGTTTTTTTAGTCATTGAGCCATTGAGTCTGTCTGGAGTCTATCTAGAAAGTATCTCGTGCCCAGGGCAGTCTGTTTTCATCTGTCACTGTGCATTTTTTGAGCCGGGGCACGAATGAGGTTTGGTTGTTCGAAATCGTGGTTTTGAAATTGTGCAGAGGCAGGCTCGACAGTAAAAACATGGGCTCCAGGGGTTGAAAACACGGCTGTGTTTCTTCCCCTGTCCGCCCGTGATTTGGTCCTTCACCCTTCACGACCTCGCACTAAAAAGCACGGGAACCAGGGGTTGAAAACACGCCCGTGTTTCGACCCCTGTCCGCCCGTGTTTTGCTAAAGGGAGAGCCGCGCCTCGGCAGTAAAAACACGGGCGCGACACACCAGAAACACGACCGTGTTCTCGGCCCGATCGTGTTTTTGCCCCCTATAAAAAGCGAAATCCGCCCCCTCCCCCCCCCCCCCCCAGATTTCATATTTTCAAAAATCCCTCTCTCTCCTCTCGCCAGAAAATCAGCCCTCTCCTCTTCTCTGGTGTTTTTCTAGCCAAAACTCTCTCTCCCGACCTCCAAATCAAAAATCGAGACCACCACTGTGCTCCTGGCTTCGGGGAGAACATTCCCCAGAAGTTTGGTCCCATTTGGCGAAAGTTGGGTTGCCGGCGAGTTCTTTGGCGAGTTCTCCTGCGATTTTGGAGTGCATTTCCTTTATCTTCACCTTCCTTGTGGTGTCTAGTTGCGTCTCCAGGTGTGTTTCTCATTTTATCTTGGTCAATTTTGGAGAATTGATACCTAGGGTTATAGGTGAAGAACTTGAGATTTTGGCTTGAACTTGGATCATTTTGGTAGGCCGACGGGGTTTATATGCTTGAAATTATTGTTCCCATGAATTAGTTTCGTCGTCCAACCAATTGCATGTGTGGAATGGTGCCCTTGTATGCTTGGTTAGAAATTGTTTGGTGAATGGCCGATTGGATGGTTATTGGGGATTGGTTTGCTTGTTTGTTCCACCGAGAGCCTAGTCCACTGTCCAAATCTTTCGATTTGACGTCTCCTGGTGCGGTTTTGCTTAACATTGACCCACTCCGCTGTATAGAATTTGTGCTTTTTGTTGCTTTACAGGATCATGGAGGACTACCTGGACCTATTGAGCATTACTCAGCGCCACCACCTGCGGACCGTCCGCACACGCCATATCTCCGAACACATGCATCTGGACTTTGAGGTGTTCGACGCGCTCCACACTCGCGAGGAGATGGAGACCGCTGTTCGTGCCTATGATTGGCGGCGCCTCCTCTGCCTCGCTGAGCTAACTTACCAGGAGCTCGTTGGGGAGTTCTATGCTTCCTTCTCCCATTCACAGAGGAAGTCGGCTGACCATGCTGACGCCGTCTGTTTCACACTCGGTAGGTTCGAGAACTCCGTTAGTTACTGGGAGTTGGCCACTGCACTTGGCCTCAACTCCCCTCACACCAGCGATCGCGCCTTGGTCGTGGAGGAGACTAATCCCACCTCCTTTCCTGACCAAGCTTATTTCGAGCGCATCTGCCTCCTTGAGAACGTGGATGAGGAGTACATACCCAGCCGGATGAAGAGTACATGCCCAGCCAGACGAGGGCCACTCTACTCCGTCCGGAGTAGAGGATCTTTAACCACCTGCTAACCAGTCCTACACTCCTAGTTGGGGATCTACCAACCGGGTCACCCTCCGGACGTTGTACTTCATGCATGCGATGGGCTAGGAGGAGGACACTATAGAGCTGGGCTCTATTTTTGCTCGCACATTCACCAAGGCCTCCGCCAGTCACGATCGCTATCTTGTCTGTAGACCGGTGATCACAGCCTTGGCCCGCTACTATGGGGTCGACACTGTTGGCATGACCCTGCTCCGCCCCGTGACCCCCTTCAGCGAGGCTACTCTCCTACATCAGCATTTGCTCGAGCGTGAGGGTCCTCTGACATGGATCGCGGGTCTCCCTAGGTCGCCTGTGCTTGCTCCTGCCAGGACCAACCGACCGAAGTCGAGTGCTGCTGGGGGCGACATGGCCCCTACCGTCTTGCAGGCCGTGCCCATGCCCCCACGGGTCTTTCTGATGCTGCCCTCGGCTCTTTTGCCGCCCCCGCTCCGTTGCTGACCAGTTAGCGGCCATTGCTAGTTAGAACGAGCGAATTCTAGCTGGCAAAGAGCGCATCCACACCTGCCTTGACCGTGAGCAGGACTGCAACTGTCGTCTCATGTTTGGCCAGCACTACATCATGCATTATCTGGGCCTGGACCAGAACTCGGTCCACTACCCCTTCGTGCAGTCGCCTGGGCACGAGGATGACTACCCACCTCCCACGAGCGATGGTGGCGATGTGTTCTAGTGGGGCTGTGAGGGCTATGTACTTCCTTTCTTTTCCAAACTGAGACTCCCTGTCGTTTGTTTTTCTTTTTCTTTCTATTTTTTATTTTGTTATTTGGATTGTAGACATGGAACTATGGTTTCTTTCACCCAGTGTGTGTGTTTTCATGACTCTAGCTCTGTGTCCTTGGACTCATCCACTTCCAGTCCCCTACTCTTGACTGGTCTGCCTTCCAGTCCTCATTCCTGCTCTTCATTTCACGGTAACATCGCTCCCCTTCCCTCTGCTCCACTGAGGGCAATGTCGAACTTAAGTGTGAGGGGGTGCTTTGTCTTTATTGGAACGTATATGTGTGTGCTTGGAGCCTAGTCTGTTGTCCAAATCTCGAGATTTGAGGGCTCCAAGTACTGATATGTGCATGATCATATTGGCACTGTGGTTTAATTGGTGAATCGAATGACTTTTAGAATTGATGCATGACATCTTGATTGTTACTAGGACAACCGTTAATGATGACTCAGACGTGCAGTAGAGTTGTATAGGGGTTCAGTTTTTCAACTGTCTGCTTCCCAAATGTGACTTGGATTGATCACTTATTTTCTACAGTCGTTCTTGCATCTAGTTCAGGGAATTAGAATGAGAGATAGAGCATATATGTAACACCCCGACTTTGGGTTCAGGTTCGACCTTAATACGTGATCGGTTGGATTGACGATTACGTACCAAGAGTTACAACCGCAGATTAAGTATAATAATAATAACTATTATTATTACATTATTTGAAAAAGGGACATACACATATATATTTTTGGGCGGCCACAGAGGGCCGACCCTCCACCAAAAAACCGGCAGCAAACCCTACCTCTCCTCCGCCCAGGACCCGCTCAACCCTTAATTATTTCCCCAGCTCCACCCCACCACGTTCTCTATCTCTCGGCAAGAAACCAAAACCCTCCCACCATTTTTTTTTCCCCAAGCACAACCGCCCCTGGTCCGGTCGAGCTGCAGCCGGGTCTTGATGACGTCGATTGCCTGCAAACAGCAAGCCTCCATGATTCCTCCAAGAGAACCCAACATAGCCTTCATATGGGACGGAATCGTCGCCTTCTTTGTCGTTCGGGATTCAATCAGCCTAGGAAAAACGAAGGATTCATGGCGTTGGTTTTTTATCCGGAGAATGCCAGGAGCCATTCCACTGCGTCAGAATCAAGTTTCGAGGTAGTTACATGCCTCGCCGGAGCTTCGCCGGGACGTCATTGTAGATCGCCGGAAAAACCAGAGAACTCAAGTCCAAGTATTTTCCGATTGGAGGGTACCAATGCAAAGAGGACGATCCCGGGATCATCACCGCGTCGACGAAATCGGATTCTGACGTCAGACGAGGGAGAAACGAGCATCAAAAGTTTGGATGAAAATCTGTCAAGTTCAGGTACCACTACGGACAATTCAAAAAGTTTGTGGATCATTTCGGTAATTTTACAGCAGGGTCGTGGTCAAGTATGTTGACTTGAAAAATTGAAATTTCGGTACCTGGAACTTTTAAGCTGACAAAATATTTATTTTGGTCATAACTCGATCAATTGACGTCCGAACGAGGAATCGTCAGCGCCTATGGAATCGTGAGAACGAGGAGAATTTAATTGGAGCAAGTATGGAAATTTAAGAGAAGATTCAGAGTTGGTTTTGACGGATTAGAGGTGAGTGTAAAGGGGGTAAATTCTACGCCTTACGTGTTATTTCAAGTATTACGAGCTTTAAGTATTTGAGGAAGTGGCTGTCGTTGTTTGAGATTGCATGATTATGGTTGATGATATGTGCCTTGTTTGAATTATGACTTGAAGTGATTGGTTATTACTTACTTTGAAATTTTATGAGTATAAGTTGTTAAAGTTTAAGCAACAAGTTCTTTTTAAGAAGTAACTCACCTTCAAGAGGGTGAAGTCGTTTTAAGTGTTTTTAGTCACTGGCCCCAGTCCATTGCCATTTGAGATTTTCAGATAGAGCAGCAGTTATGCTCTTGAGATCTTTGAGACAGATCAGCAGTTATGCTCTTGAGACTTTTAAGATGAGCAGCAGTTATGCTCTTGAGAATCGTGGTGAAGAGCCACCACGATAAGTTTAAGATGTTAGGGGGATGAATCGTTACGACTCCCCTAACTAAGTTTAAGTTTAAGGAAAGCCTGGATGGCTTCTCATACGTACGAGTTGGCAACCGGACTAGCTAGTGAGGGATCCCCGTGTCAGGCAAGTATTTAAGTCAAGATTTGAGTTTTAAGAGAGGAGAGTAACTTCAACTCCCTCAAAGTTTAAGAGTTAAGATTTTAAGATTGGGAGTACAAACAACTTCCACTAGTCAAAGTTAAGTGTTTAAGTACTCAAGTATTAGAAGTATTAAAACGTAAGGGCGTATATTGACCCCATATCACTCACCAGTTTGAGGAGCTAGAGGAGCAGTTAGTGAGCAGCGAGTTCGAGGGCAGCCAGCTAGAGGAGACTAGTATAAGCGTCATGGAGGATGCTTAGTCAAGGTTTTCAGTAGCAACAACTTCAGAGATTATTTGTTATTTACATTTATGATTATGAGTACAGACTGGAGATTATTTTGAGATCAGATTGAGATTTTAAAGTTTGAGTTTAATTTGCCCATGTGTTAGGGCTTTGCTCTGAGCTACAAGTGTGTGTTTTCAGTATTTTATTTTATGAAATTTTTTCCCGCTGCAATTTAAGATTTGAGTATTTTATTTATCAAGGGCATTTTAGTAAAAGTAGTACCCAGCCGGGTTAGGGTAAGTGGTTGAGTCCAGTCTATGTTGGTTGGGGAAGAGAAGGGAGACTCTTCCTTTGCTCGACTTAGCTACACTCGAATGTCATCTGTGGTGGTTGTCTAGGTTGCCGTTGAGGTTGTTCATGTGTTGATGACTAGAAGCTAGTATGGTTCACGTGTTTTGTGCCGAAATGACAGGTCCCTAAAGCTTGCATGGTTAAGATGTTTTGAGCACCTTGTGTCTGACTTGGTTTGCTTGGGGACAAGCAAACGGTTAAGTGTGGGGGAATTTGATAACGATGTATTTGCACATGTTTACACCCTTAGATCTTATCTGTTTGCGGCTCATAGTCGCATATCTTTGGCCTATTTTACGCTGGGTTGTGCTATTTTGTCACATTTCAGGTCCCAGACGTCGAAGGAAGGGCTAGGCACGATTTTCGCGGCGTTTGGAGGTCATTCGCTGAAGCTGGGGCAAGAACACGGGCAGACTACTCCAGAACACGGTCGTGTTCACTAAGGGGCATGCCAGTGCTTTTTAGTGAGCGAGCTGAATCACTGCAAGGAGAGAACACATGCACCATTGAGTAATACACGGCCGTGTCCCCAACCTGTGTTTTTTATGCCGAGAGCCTCATTGTGACTGCTGCCGAGGAGTCCAAAACACGGGTGGGAAAAAGTAAAACACGGCTGTGTCCTCGACCGTGTTTTGCCCAGTCTCGGGTTAAAAGGGTTGTTTCAAGCCAAAGAGAGGGCATCCGATTTTTAGAGAAAGAAAATAGAAAACCTAGAGAGAGAGAGAGAGAGAGAGCGACGAACAGAACTTCCAAGCACCTTAAATCGATCTCCAACACTATTGGAGCTCGGGAGAAGCTTGGAGAAGTGCCGACTGATGACCAGAATCAGATTTTCATCCTTCACATAATGATTTCCGCATCTGAAGCAGATTTCTCTTCTCTCTCTATGGAGTAAACTCTCTTACTCACTTGGGTATGAAGAACCCTAGATTTGTATGTTAGGTTTGGTTGTATGAACCCAAGTACAAATTCTTAGATACTAATTATATTCAATTGAGGCATGATTTTCTGAATTGCTTGAATCCTGATCAAATTCCTGTAGTTCATGATTTGACCTAGAAAGAGAATATCTGCCTAGGTGATAGAGCACCCTTAATTGAAGGTAGTGAATTGATGACTTTAGTCGAGGAGTCGGTTCACTATTCTGTACTGGATTAACTCCAGTAGAGGAGGTTTGGTATGTTAGGGCCTCAGTCTGTTTACTTCAGTGGAGGTTAGTCGCCCGCTGGGGATTCAGATTGAAAGGGTCTGGATACCTTTAGTCGAGACTTCAAATTACCTAAGAACCTTCCGCAGTATAATTATCATTGAAACTGAACTGGGTGAATTACAACTTGGTTCAACTGCAGTCTAGGGGGAACCATATCTGGGTGACCTCGCTCAAACTTGGAACACAACCTTTACTACTTTTGTTTGCTAGTTTAGTTGGAACTGCACTACAGTTGAACAGATAAATAATAAGAATTTCATGGAGTAGTCATCACACTTAGGACCCGGGTTGACATTTAAATCTAAACCCGCTATACTATGCATCAGTAGGTGGATACACTTGGCCTCTTTCTAGTGTGACAGTACAAGCGAGTCAGAAGGATATCAGTATGTGTTGAAGGGATATGTATTTTGGGCCGACGGATATTATTTCCTTACTTTTGAATATTATTCGGTTATATTTTATGCATGTTTGTGTGCGTGGATCTTTAAATGTATTCCAACACATATTTTTGGGGTTTGATATATTTTTGTTGAAGGAAATATATTCTTATGATAACTAACATCCAATCTGTAGCAGAAGGAAATCCATCCTTGATCAAACCAGCAATCATAATAAGGTTAGTTAGTGTCTACTTTTGTCCAAAAATTCCCAAAATAACCAATCACCTTAAACTAATAACATCAACATATGGGGAATGGAACCGCTGGTGGTAAGTTTCAGCTTCTCTTCCCTTTGCCTTTCTCCTTATGTGTTGCCCACTCGTTTTCCTCCTCAAGTATGATATTCCTTTGGTTGTTGTATTTTCATAGAAGGAGATTGGCTGCAATAGATGCTCGTTGGTGCTCCACGTGCTCTTGCTTGTACCAAATTTGCTTGTACTCCGATGGAATGTGGCCCGCCCAATGCTCCATGAACATGCATGCGAACACACCGCAGTCGGTGTTTCCATCTTGTTGAGGAACATCAGTAATAACGAATTCCCAATTGTGCAAGGGAGCATCGATGTTGTACTTTGCAAGGAAAGCTGCCCCATACTCGAATATCTTTATCCCCATTGGACTGTGATCGATCTTGGCCACTGCGGGGATGGGTTTTTGGATGTCCAAAAGGAAAGTCTGTTACTCCTTATATCAGCAGCGTAGACCCAGTAGTGTAGGTTTGCATGCATAGGGAAAAAGATCTGAAACATATAACACATAGTTAGTTATCCAAGAACACAAAATATTATCCCTTCAGCCTAGACAAATATCCACTAATAACATTTCATATATTCATTGGCAAATATCTAGACAACCCATAATAGTATCCACCCAATTTAGAAATGTATCAGACATAATACACTCAGTTAACTCAGGCAAATATCTAGACAACCCAGATAAGTATCTACCCAATTCAGAAATGTATCATGACATAACTCACTCAGTTATCTCAAGCAAATATCCATACAACCCAGAATAATATCCATCCAATTCAGAAATGTATCAAACATACCACACTCAGTTAACTCATGCAAATATCCAGACAACTAGATAAGTATCCACCCAATTCAGAAATGTATCATGAGATAACACACTCATTTATTTCAAGCAAATATCCAGACAACCCAGAATAGTATCCATCCAATTCGGAAATGTATCAAACATAACACACTCAGTTAACTCAGGCAATTATCCAGACAACCCTGATAAGTATCCACCCAATTCAGAAATGTATCATGACATAACACACTCAGTTATCTCAAGCAAATATCCAGACAACCCGGAATAGTATCCATCCAATTCAGGAAAATATCCAGACAACCCAGATAAGTATCCATCAAAACATAACTAAATATGAGTTGACTTATTCTAATTTGTCAAAGGATGCCATTCTGAACAGTGGAACCCGTTTGGTGGTTCCAATGATCCCATTGACTCTCTCCTAGGTCATGGGCATTTTCTTCTGAGCATCAGCAAGCAATGGCAAGTTGCTATTTACAAAGGAAAAGAAAACCTGATTAGTTACTTTTAATCTAAATATTGCGAGGTGTGAGTGAAGAGTACACTTACACCAAAAGTGAACGGGAAGATAAGTTTCTTCAATACTCCTCCATTGCTAAGTACTTTATCGTTGAAGTAATGACCATAAGTATCAATCACTTGGGTATTGACCCACTCCTTCCAATTCAATGTCAACATGTGGAGACGTGCTAGTTTAAGGGAAGGAGTCTCCACCACATAGCCTTTAGAACCAGAGGTACTGAAGACGAACTCAACCACACGATGTGTCACTGGGTCGAGCTTTTTTGACACATCCTTCGACAAACCATATACTGATGATGCGGCATATGGGTTGTTCTTCGATATCTCGAACTCTGGGGTCTTTAGTGTTGCAGGCTATTCCTCAGGTGTGTAGATGTATAAACGCTCTTCTTCCTTGACAGTCCTAGCCCTCACATGCATGATAGTCACACCTGGACTCCCCTTAGTGCTCTTGAAAGCCTCCTCTACCAGCTCCTAGTTTTTCGGCAACATTCTCGTATCTGCAAATGGATCCAATGCCACTACATCAATCATCTCCACTACTCCCTCTGTTGGTGTCTCCAGCACATCATGAGTGGTTGGCTTCACCACCACATGAGTAGTCTTCTGTACAACTTCCTCCCTCGTAGGTGATTCCTCTACATCAGCAGTAGCAGCACACACAACCTCATCAGCTATCTGCATAATCTCCTCAAATGTTGTATCTTGGTTTGTATAGTGGATCACCAGAGGGACTGTCGGAGCGAACACCTGTTCTCCAATGTCCACTTCCTCATCCAGTTTCTCTCCAATCTTCTCCGTTTGTTTCTCCACCACCTCCTCAATATTCTTCTCTTGAGGATCTTATCACATCATTTTACATTATTCTCATTTTGTGGCTCGACCTCCTTCTCTTAAGAATCCTCATCCACTTCCATTTCAGCTCCAGTATTCTCCACTTGGTCTTCCACCACCTCTGTTCTAAGTTGATCTAGCACCTCCTCAAAACTATTCTCCAAAGTTCTCCTTCTGGAGTACACGACCTTGAACCTGTCATGCTCTTCGCTCTTGTATATCATATGCCCCAACATTGTGACAAAGTCCAGCAATTTGCCCAAACGTCGGTCAATCCCAGCACCTAGTACCTTAAGCTGGAAGAAAAACGGAGAGTTTGCGAAAATTAAAAACCATCAACACCCATGTATCCTGAATAATATCCAAAATGCTAGTACAAGTATCCAACTTTTCCAGAATGATATCCATACATGAACGAGCATTAAGATTCGCAAATTAACATCTTCTACCATCCATGTATCTAGACTAGTATCCAAAGTGCGCGTACAAATATTCAATCCACATATAACAAACATATATTTTATTGAAATATCCAAATGCAAACAAATAATATCCAAACCTCACAACTCAGAATTCATAAATGAAAATAAAACGAGCTGATATCCAAATGAAACCAACTAATATTCCAGAACAACAAACTAAAATCCAACTAATATCCAAAACCATTCAAACATGGCAATCTTAAAATCCAACTAATATCCAAAGCCATTCCAAGATGGCAATCTAGAAACAGTACAACCCCGAAAAAAGAACGAAAAAACAGTAGATCAAATTCACTCTTGTCGTTCCGAATTCTCGACAATTGTTTGGACCTTGTCCCTTCGAGCCACCCACTTTTAAATCATGATCTAAGTCATTTCCTTCAATCTCTTAAGCTACACATATGTTGTGAAATATTTAGGTTACTATATGCATCCAAGTCTACCAATGCACTATCTTAAGTAGGGAGGAAAAAAATATTTACTTGCTATAGCTGAAGGCTAGTCAAATCTTCAGTCTCCCACCATTCCGTGGTGGGCATCTGTGCACGAGCTGGAGAAGGAGCTGAACTGCTCGCCGCTGTTGCAATAGTACCCCCCGTAAGGGGATATATGTTTTGCCCTCTCGACATTTTGCTTCCACCAAAACCGGCAGCTAGGGATGGTCTTTGTGTGCAACTCGCGTAGGCTTAAGGAGTCCAGCAGATGGAGTTGTAAAAAAAATTACAATTAATAAATGTTAAGCGCCAATTCTAGCAATTTAATCAAGAAATATCGAGAGTCACCAGAAATAGTATCATATGTGACTAAAATGATATCCACAGACCATTTGAAGCTGATTTCTTGCAATTTCACCAACAAGCATCGAGATTCAATACAAGTGTATCCTATGTGACTTAAATGATACCTAGATAACATTCTAACCAAGAAATATCGTGATTCAAAATAAACAGTATCCGAGCCGAGCTAGATGATATCCAAATACGCGATTCACTAGATTTCATGCAATTGAACCAACAAGTATCGAAAAAGGTTAGGACTTACTGTCAAGAAAGTAGCAATCTCCGAGAACCACAAGCATGACTTGTCCTCCACCCTTGCAGCATGTTCTTTTTTCTTGGCAACAATCAACTCTACCTTTAAGTTCACGGACAATATAGGTACACCAATTGTACACCCTAACGTCCTCAACACTCCCACCTATGCATGGGGCAAAGTCCAGCTTGCACCTCCTAGCAAATGTTGGCACGAGAAACGAACCAGTAGCTAGCAACAAGAATTGCTTGACAGCCATTGCAACAGGTGGTCTAGGACCTTCGGCTAGAATGGCCAACTCCCGCAGATCCTTCATAGGAACATTGCGGCTCTTGTTAGGAATCATGCCGATATCTTCGCTGAAACTGTCGAGCATCCCCCCTCAACGTTCTTCAGATCAATCACAGCCCCACCGAGAGGAAGGTCGTACACACGTGCCACATCCTCAGGTGTGAAGTCAAACACCTTCTTCGAGTCTCCCTCCCCGACAACAAAAGTACTGTTTGAGATGTCATAAGCAGCCATCAAGTCATCCATGAAGATATTTGGGAATTTTCGGCATTCAAAGGTCCAATAGGCCTCCGAATCCTACCTTCTCAACTTCTTTCTTGCATGCTGCATAGGATTCAACATCTTGTTTCCAGTAGCTTATCACTTTGAATAGGGAAAAGGTGGAGCCGCAAAATCTGAAGTATGAGCCGCAGGATCCCGCATCATCTTCTTCCTCATCTTCCTCCTCAACTTCTGGTTGTTGTCGAGCAGGCGGCGGCTGCCTTGATCCTTCTCCTTCAAGAGATCTCGGTGCAAACATTTTGGATCTCTTCCTCACAGGTTGTTCCTGAAATACTTTCATATATTAAGAAAATTATCAATACTCCCCAGACAAATAACTAAAACGCACAGAATAATATCCACCCCAACAAAACTAATATCGACACATTAGAGCAGTAGTTTTTAGCCAATAAATCCAATTAATATCGTAGTAGAGCAAGAGTGTATCCAAACAGAGATAAATGATATCCATGTAAAAAAATATACATAATCCCCAGACAAATAAGGAAAACGTATAATTAAATATCCACCCTAACCTAACTGATATCGACACATGAGAGTAGTTTTTTTCACCAATATATCGAATTATTATCGTAGTAAAGCAAGGGTGACGAAAACGTATAATTAAATATCCACCCTAACCGAACTGATATCGACACATGAGAGTAGTTTTATTCACCAATATATCCAATTATTATCGTAGTAAAGCAAGAGTGTATCCAAGCACAGATAAATGATATCCTTGAAAAGGTATCGAAAACAAAAACTAATCGAGAAACGAAGTGAGAAATGAAACCTGTGGTCGTTCTTCATACGACGGATGCTGTGATGATCCATCTCCTTGACGAGATCTCGGTGCAACCATTTTGGATCTCTTCCTCACGGGTTGTTCTTGAAACACAGTTATATTTTAAGATAAATATCCATAATCCCCAGACAAATAACTAAAACACACAAAACAATATTCGGCCTAACAAAACTAATATCTATACATCGGAGTAAAATTTTTTAGCCAATTTAACTAATCGAGAAACGAAGTGAGAAATGAAACCTGTGGTGGTTGTTCATCTGGCGGCTGCTGTGATGATCCTTCTCCCTCATTGTAGGCCTTTGCATTCTTTTTCGGTCTCCCCATTCATTGAACCAATATCCACAATGACCAGAATAAGTCTCTTGATATCCAGAACAAGTATCAGAAGTGACAAAACTGATATCCATGTAACCTTAAATCAAGGAATCGACAAATGATACCCAGATTCCCCAAAATCGAATCCAACAAACCCTATATCAGATAACCTAGAAACAATATCCACAACCCCCAAAATGGAATTCGACAATCCCTAAATCTGGTAACCTTGAAAAAAAATCCACAACCCCAAAATCAAATCCAAGAAATCCTAAATCTTCAAATCGAGACGAAACCCAGAACCCCCAAATTCGAATCGCACGACCCCTAAATTTGGTAATCTAGAAATAAAAACCTAAACACCCATATTCGAATCCATGGAACCCTAAATCTACAAATCGAGAAACGAAACCCTGAACCCCCAAAGTCGAATCGCATGAACCCTAAATTTTGCAATCGATAAACGAATCCCAGATCTCCACAAAAAAATCCATAAAACCCTAACTTATTATCCACAAACAAAATCAACAATAAGGAGAGGAGAAGACGCCAACTTGAACTAAAGCGTCTTCCTTGCATTCGTCTTTTACCTTCCACTACTGGCAGCAGTGGCGGCAACGGCGTCTTCAGCAACGTCTTCCTTCTTCGTCGGCGACGTCTTCTTTCTTCAAGGACTGTGAAACCCTTCCGAAACTTCTTCCTCGTTGGTATAGCTTCAACGTCGTCATCGGCGTGAACTCAGACAAGCCGTCGCCGACCTCGCAGCCGTCGTCGCCGTCGCAGCCGTGTAGCGTACATTGAGTTACTTAATCAAACACCACATTTTGAGACTTCACACATGGCCGTGCGGTCGTGGAATTTTGGGTTTTAACCCAATTTCGGGTATTTGAAGAGTGGGACAAACTTTCAGAGCAAACACAGAGTCCTAAAGAGAGAAAGTGCAAAGAACAAACCCTAAGAGTGATTTTGGAGCTGGCTTCATGAATCAAGCTTGGATTTCATCCTTGTAGTGAAGATTATCATCCCAAAGCAGATTCTTCCCATCATTATGAGTATGACTGCTTTGTATTCTGTTTTCCTCTCTCTCTATGGAGTAGAACTCCCTCTCACTTGGGTATGAAGAACCCTAGTTCCATGTGTTAGGGATATTGATTGTAATGACTTTTGGTATATTGTGTGATTATAATCGGTTGAGGCATATTTTATTGAGTCAATTGAAGCCTGGTTAATACGCCCCTGGGGGGTGTATGTTATCAAAGTAACGCAGCAAACGACTCAATCGAAGAATCGATTGAGCTCGAATCTAGAACGAAGCGTTCTTAATACGAACTTGGATAAAACGGAACCAAAAGGACAAATCCACACCTGGGGATAGCTCGATTGGTATAAGAGGGTAGTTGCTCGACCACGATTGAAGTGACTATTCAATCGATACACAAGCTCAGCAAGTTTGGAATCCACCAAACCCAAAACAAGTCGCAACTTGCACAAACCAAACGGTTTCTTTTCTATTCAACAAAGTCTGAATTTTACAACAAAAATAAAAGGCTATTTATAGCCAATAAAACCTAATACAAACCTAATGTAACTAGGAAACAATTATGGTAAAAACAAACTAAAAAAACAGTACAAAACTCGGGTTTAAACTCCCTTTCTTGAAGAGCAAGTAAGCTGCCAGCAACGGTCCAAAAGGCAGCTTTCGTACTAACTTTGCACCTTTCGTTCGAGGCCTTCCCGAACTCCAATTCTTCATCCCATTCCTTCCCTTTGTTCACAACATACCTAGTTTCATGTTGTGGAAGCCTTTTGACTTGAATCCCATCCATGGTCCTTGAATTGAGCTCCAAAGTAGGCTTCACAGAACAGTTTTCTGCCTTAGTCATTTTCTGGCATATTTCCAGTTTTAAGGTAGCAACTTTGAGGACTTGGAAAACAACCTTAATGACATCTTCTGGATCCATAAAGCATACCATTGGAAAGATGGTAACTTTATCTGCAAAAGAAACCCTTACAATTGAATTTCACCAAGCCAATTGAGAGAACCATGCCTCCAAAGTATGTATCGTAAACCGCACGCCCAGGGTGCAGTTTAAGATTCTGGTCCAAAACCGCATCTTAGCCATGCAGTTTGTGTCGTCCCCATTTTCCCAACATCCAACATGTTGCCATGCAGGTTGACAGACGTGGGGCTGCATGGCAGATGAAAAACCGCACCCTCCCCATGCGGTTTTCATTGATGATTTTGCCTATAAAAAGCAGCCCCGGGAAACCTCTTCTCTCCACACCTCTCCTTCTCCCTTTTCAATTTTCTATTGTAGCTCCCTACTTCTTTAGTGTTTTTGCGGTTAACGTTAACTCGTAAGTTTATTTTGTATTACTTTTTATTGTGATTTGTGATTTTTATGATATTAACTGAACTACGGGTTTTTTCGCAAATGGCATTCCAAAAGTTCATGCTTGGGTTACGGTGGAATGGTTATACAGAAGAGACCGAAAAGAGGTCACCTACGTCGGTGGCAATTTTCAGAAAATAAAAGTCGCTACCAGACCGATGCTTGAAGACCTCCATCAAATGTGTACCGATATCCAAACAGAGAAGGCGGTTCGCTGTGGCACGAGGAATATATCATAAGCACTCAGGATGAAGTAGATGCCATGCTCGAATTCTTGAGGTCCAATAATCTTTCCAAAGCCGAGATGTTCGTTTACACCTAGGCGGTCGTAGGCGTTGGAGGTCATTCTGGAGACGGTAAAACATCTAGTATCCATGGTGGAGGTGAATTATATGGAGATCATCCCTACCAAAGCTACCATGATCTTCATTCCTATTTTCAGTACCAAGAGCAAGGTGAAGGTCATCATCAATATTCCCATCATATGAAGAAGAAGTTCAACCGGACCATGCCAACCAACCCGAGTACAACTTCCAATCAGGTAGCGGTAGTTTTCACAACTACCATTATGGAGCTGATGAAGGTGCCTTTCATGGGCTGGATCAGATGGAAGATGCCCTGCAAGCACCAGTTAGTGACCCCTCCGATGAAGAAGGAGAGAACAACGTCAGTGTAGACAGCTCCGACCCTCTTGAAGGTGCTGATGATTCAGGACCAGAGTCATACTCAGATAATGATGATGAGGTGGCTCGTGACCGTGTACCAGTCCCCTACTACAATCACATTCCAGACAACAATTGGTGTGTCGATAACGACATGGAGCCGCCAGAGGTCCCAGTATGGGGTCCACTCACTAGGTTTATGAAGGGCCAACAACTTGGCTCGAAGAAGGAGATGCGGCACGCCATTGATACTGAAGCAATGAATCGGCATTTTGAATGGCACACAACTCATTCCAACACGAAAAGGCTCATAGTCAGGCCATCAACAGCAAGAGACACGGCCATTGGGTCATATCCCGTGCGGTGAACACACACACATGTGTGTCATCCATAACATCCCAAGGCCATCGACAGTTGAAATCCAGGGTGGTTGCTGCGGCTATCAAGCATCTAATTGAGCAAGATCCTGGCCTGAAGGTGAAAGTCATAATCGTTGACATTGCAAGTCATTATGGTTATATGATTAACTATAAGAAGGCGTGGCATGGAAAGCAGAAAGCTCTGGCTGCCGTCTTTGATGATTGGGAAGAATTATATGCAAGATGAAGAGATAGAACCGCCAGAGCCCGGTAGCAAACGCCATTTCAGACGACTTTTTTGGGCATTCAAGCCATCTATTGATGGTTTTGGCTTCTGTGTCCCTGTTATCCAAGTGGATGGTACAATCCTTACCGGCAATTACAAGGGCACTCTCTTGATTTCTAGTGGGGCGGATGCAAACAGACAAGTCTCTCCTTTAGCCTTCGCCATTGTTGAGGGAGAGAATGCTGATAGCTATGGATGGTTTTTCCGGCAAATTCAGCTCGACTTCACTAGGAGAACGAACCTGACAATAATCTCTGATCGTCACGCCGACATTAGAGCTGCCATCTTAGGTTTGGATCCAGCCTGGAATTGGTCCCAAAGGTGGTGCATAAGACACTTCAAGAGCAACTGGAACCATCATTTCAAGCGGAGGAAGCTTGCTGATAATTTGTGGTGGATTGGTAAGCTCTCTATTGGTTGTTTAATTTTGTCA